CCCCAACCCCAACCCCAACCCCAACCCCAACCCCAACCCCAACCCCAACCCCAACCCCAACCCCAACCCCAACCCCAACCCCAACCCCAACCCCAACCCCAACCCCAACCCCAACCCCAACCCCAACCCCAACCCCAACCCCAACCCCAACCCCAACCCCAACCCCAACCCCAACCCCAACCCCAACCCCAACCCCAACCCCAACCCCAACCCCAACCCCAACCCCAACCCCAACCCCAACCCCAACCCCAACCCCAACCCCAACCCCAACCCCAACCCCAACCCCAACCCCAACCCCAACCCCAACCCCAACCCCAACCCCAACCCCAAGATTAATGTAATTAATTTCAGTCATTTGTCTTATTATCAATAATTTTTAATAATCTATTTTTTTTGAAAACTCTAAAGATAACAAAAATTGTATTGTAAAAAGAAAAAAATGAAAAGATATTTTGAATATTTTTGTAAAAATTGCTATTAAAATAATTTTAGAGAGGATATATTCCTTCAAGATGGATTAACGATTCGAAATATTTTAATAAATAAAATAAATTTTATTATGTTATAAAATTAAGTAGAAAATGAACCAGTAGAAGTTTATTTGAAGATCGATAATTAAATAAACTTATTCACTCAAAAAGAAGATCCATTTTATTTATGCAGTTATTTTATATTTAAATGCTAAAGATGCAACATGAAATTAGGAATAATATTAAAAGCTACAACTGATGTTTATATTAATTTTAGAGAAAAGGTACTATTATATTAAGATAACATTGAAATAATAGAGCAATCTACAAAAATATGGTAGAGTAATAATCATAATATTTAAATCAATAATTATAACGAGCATCTTTAATAAAATATGGATTATTTGAACTATGACCTATCTTTATATTCTGAATTAATAGAAAGACAAGGTAAAGTTGAGGAAGGTTTGACTAATGTGACTAAAATCATTTCAAAATTATAAAAAAAATTCAATCTTTGAAAAAATTTGTAATTATCCTTTAATAGAATAATGTAAAAATTAATAGACTACTTTTTACTAAATAAATTACAAAAATATCTTTATCTTTAGTTGAATAACAAAGCTAAAGAAATATATTTATTTATTTTACATAAATATTTTATTTAGTTTTTGAATGGAAAAAACAAATTAATTAAATTATATTGAAACCTAAAATAAAAAATATTTTTTTATTGATATTAGAATTTTTTAATATGAAATTTTTTAAAAAATTAGAAATAAAATTTTGAGGTTTAAATGTTTTATTCATCAAAAATAAAATTATTGAAAAAATATTTTATTTATTTTTATAACTCAAATCTTTTTTTAATATTCAGCATATCTAAATTAAAAAATTCAATAAAAAATAAATAATTAATTTATTCATGTTAGAAATGATAGGAAATATATCTTAGTAAGTATATCCATCTATCTATCTATTTATTTATATGTGATATATTGATTGAGTGAATCAATGAATATTTCATTAGAAAGCCTATGCTTGTTTAATGTTTTCTCTTTATTCTTGATTTTACATTCAAAGATAAAAGTAAATAACTCATAAAGAAAATATTAATTTCTTATTAAGACAATTGAGTATTACTTCAAAAGAAGAAAAAAAGAAGAAATTAAATATATTAAAAGGAAATTTCATAGATTAAAAATGAAGTTATTTTAGGCTATGTGGACTAGGACCATTTACAGCATTGGTCGTATGGTCAGAGAAACTGGTTTGGGTATGCTTTTATTTAGCCTTAGTTAGTTAAAAAGGAATAAAAATGCATAAGATCATAATTTATTAAGCCAATTTTTGATATGAATTTAGCAATTATCATTAATAAATTAAAAAATATGTCATTTTAAAAATAAAATATTTAAAAATATAGCCTTAGATAGATATGGTTGCAAATTAGAACAAGATATTTCTTGCTATGAACCCTTGAGTCGTCATAGAAACATTTTACCTATTTATGATTTAGTTCCTACTTTTTATCACTCTACTTTTATTGCTCCTAATTCTTCTTTGATTGGAGCTGTTTATCTTGGTTAAAATACTGTTGTCGGGTATAATACGATTTTTACTTAGTCTCTATTTGGGGAATATTCTTTCATTAAAATAGCATTTCAAAAAGATTTTTGCAATTATAAATTTTTGAGCAATCTATATTTGATAAAATGTATTAAAATTTATATTTTTAAAAATAGTTACGGATCTACATTGAGAGGCGATAATCACGCTATCAGGTTTTGAATTTATTTTGATATATAAAATAAACAAATAAATAGATTAAACGATTATAAGATACAAATATAAATTTATTATTGGGTTTACAGCAAACACTATTATTATAGATAAAGAGCTCATATATATTTATATCTAATGTAAATTCTTATTTATATTAAAGAGTAGGACATAATACTGTCATTGGTGATAAGGTTGCTATTTCCAATGTTGCTACTCTTGCTGCTGGTATTCCTGTCTCTACAAATATCGGTAAAATTATTATTCTAAATTTTATTTTATGTGTTTGATTTCGACTTGGTGTTTGATTTTAGTTATGTAAAATTAAAGGTAACCACGTTAACATTGGAGCTGGATGCGTTTTATAATCTTGTGTTGTCGATGATAATGTCACTGTTGGACACAACACCGTCATTTTAGAAGGTTCAGTACTTGAAAGAGGAAGTGTCATTGCTCCTAACTCTTTAGTCCCTGCTGGTCGTCTTATTCCCTCTGGTTAACTTTGGGCTGGTTCTCCAGTTAGGTAAAATTAAAATTAAAATATTAATCACTAAAATTAGGAATGAAACAATAATTAAAATAGATATGTTAGAGATTTAAAAGAAGAAGAAATTAAACTTAATTTAGAATAAACTGAATAAAATCTTTCAATAGGAAAAACTCATAAATCCTCCTTAATTTAACAAGAAGCTTATGATAGATTACTTGCTTGAACCAGTTAAACTTAATTATATTAGTATTAATTTTAGATTTTTAAGTTGGCTTTCATTACTTGCATGTGATGTGTTAAATTTAACAATTTAAATGTCTTAAAAAAAATAAAACTTATCTTCCTTCCATCATAAATTATATATATTTTTTATTAAGGAATTAATAAATTAATTAATTTATTTATTAATTAATGAGTTATTGGAAATTTAATTTTGTAATTTAATATATTTTACTTTAAAAAATTATAAATGAACAAATAATTTTAATGAGTGTAAAATTAAAGTAAAAAGAAAATTACTTTTTATGAACAAAATTACAGATGTCTTCATTAATTAATTTAAAATTCAATATTTCTTTCTTATTTCAAAAGATTTTTTTTTTGGAATGAGTGAATTTAATATCAGAGTTCTAAAATTTCAAAAAAATTACTGAAAAATAATTAAAAATATTATCTTTAAACAAAAAAAATAAAGTCTACTATTAAGTAATTTAATTTATTTGTAACATATATGATTAATTTAATTATTGGATTCTTCTTTGTTTTATTTTTAATGTCCCTGATAGAAAATACCAAATAAATAATAATAATAAAAATAATTTTTTTAAATCTAAAATGAATTATATATTTATTACGTTTTAATTATTCGGTTTGGCGAATACTCAGTATACACATAATATTAATAGAGATAATTAATATTTTTTTTTTCATTAAATCAAATATTACATTATTGGTTGAAAGAATTAAAATATTATTAAATTTAAAATAAAATATTCACCTAAAAATGAAGTATTTAATGATTACTAAATAAAGAAAATTTTGCAATAATTGTAAATCATTTAATAATGATAAAATAATGATATTATGTATGGTTCAAAAAATAATAACAAAATTTGAGGTAGAATAATTTTATATTTTAATATAACTAATTAAATAAACAGATTTTTTTACATAGAGGATAAAAGATTTTAAGATTGCTAACAAAATTAAATTAGAAGAAACAAATATGACGAATTAGTATACAATAAGTGATGAAAACTTAAAATAATTATATTAATTTAGAATTACTGTTAATAAACTTTATAATAAAAATTTATTTAAAAAAATAAGCTATTAATTAAAATTATATATTCCATTTATTTATTAAATAATATCAAAGATTTCCCACTAAAAGTTTATTTAGGAAAATAATTTTTTCTAGGCTTGATTTAAAATCAATATGATAAATTGGGAAAAGAACGAAATTTTAGCAAACATATTCATAGTATGGTTGTAGATTTTCTTCGAATTCTTCCTCATTTATATTTTTTAGCTTCTCATTAATTGGTTGATTAAGAATATTATAGGCAATATACTCTCTATCTAAAGAAAGTGTTTCCATTAATTCTGAAAAATCTAAAAGTTCAGCATGCTATTGGCTGATTAATGACCTCTATTTCTATACAAAAGCATTTGTAAATAAGTCATTAACTCCCTCTATATCTTCATTTTTCTTAAGTTGTTTTTTTAGCTTGTTTTCAGGCTTGATAAATCCATGCTGCTAACCAGCTGCAACTCTTCCTCCTTTACCTTCTTGAGCATTAATTACACTAGATTGATGATCTAATCCATCCTTTTGCATTTTTATTTTCCTAATTATCCATCTTTTTCTTCCATTTTTCTCATCAATGCGTCTTAGTGCAACTTTGTAGTGCTCTTTTAAAATCGCATTTGCCCAACCTGCTGCATAAGGATTAGGGTTGTACTTAAAACCTGGATCATATACTGAATATTAGTAACTGTTATGCCCTTAGTTCTCAGTATTGTGATTATTTGAGCTATCTAAATTATAAGCATTATATTAAACTAAATTCTTATTTTATTAATAATTGCTATGGCCTCCATTAATATTATTATATTCGTGCTAGTTAGCATTAGAATTGCTTCTTAAGTTTTTATTAGAAAAAGAATTGCTTATTTGATTATAGTGAGTATTATTTTAGCTAGTATTCAAATTACTATTAAGTCTTTAAAATGCACCTGTTTGTGTGGATTGAGCAGTATTAGGTGGATGAAAGAATCCATCTTTGTGTTGATTAAATGGATCATTTTTATTATTAACTTTCATTACTTATATTTTAGCCTATCTTATTGGTGATAATTTTGTTTTCTAAGGTTATCTCCCTTCTTTGTCTATTTAATTTATGTTAAAATTTTATGAAGAAATAGATCCAATTGGTTTTTTCATTGATATTTTTTTGATGTAACCATTGTTATGCTATTATTACTACTAGCTACTTAAATCATTTTTGTTTCTTACATTTCCTATTTATATATTTATTATTTACATTTTAAATAGATGAACTAATAGAATTAAGAATTATTAATTTAACAAAAGCATTTTTTAAATAAATGTCTAAACAATCTTAATATATTTATTTAAAATCTATTAAATCTTATATAAAATCATATTTTAAAATGCTTCAATTTAATAATTTACTGCTAAAGCTTCATTTATTTTATTTGTTTAATAATTATTTTAATTATAGTTATACTAAAACTAGGTTTGTTTACAAATTATAAATGCTGAAATAAATATGAAACTAACGTTTGCTGTAAATTTTACCTTAAGTTAACTGATTTTAATCATTTGTCCCAAATTGTTAAACAGACTTACTATTACTCATCTATGTCTTCCCAAGAACTGAATACTGATTAAATTAAACTTATTGATCCATAGTTTCTTATTAATTTTGAAGATTCAAGCCATTTGGTTTTAAACCACTGTAAATATCACCATTAGCTTTTTTTATTTATGTCTCATCGAAATACATTTCAAAAAAATCAACAGGATCACTCTACTCTGGAATAAATTAGAGTGCGTGCTAAAAAAGACCTTTCATTTATTAATAAAAACATTAATTACTAAACATTTATTTTATGCTAATTTATCAAAATGAAAATTTTAAAAGTACTTTGTAAAATTTATATCTAAGTAGCTGCAATCATTGATTATATCTTTTAACTATTTAATGGCTTTATATAAGCAAAAGGATGCCTATGTTGTATATATATATATAAACTTATTACTTTACTTTATTTGTTTGATATTTTCTAATAAATAGTATAAAGCTAATAACTTTACAAAATCAATGAATATTATAAAATTAATAATTTGTATTATTTTTTTTACACTAAATGAATAGTTATAATTTATTTCTTATTTGATTGTAACAAGACTGTATATATGTAGGAATGTTAATTGATAGTATTTCTTTATTTTTAATAATTCAAAGAGATATTTAATTTCAATACCATAAATGCATACTCTATTAATTGCAATAAAATAGCTTTACTTTAAAGTAAATTTATTTATTTTATGCCTATTAAAATACATTAAAATAAATTAAATTATTCAAATAATTTTTATGCAATCCTTAATTTTTGTTAAATTAGAGTTTTAATTTTTATATTTTATTTTTAAATTCTTAAAATATATTCAAATATGCAGATAAACTAATCCTCTAATTTACAATTTTAATTTTTGTTCAATATCAGTAAAAGTAATAAATTTCGATTTTCTTTACTGTTTATGAGAAAACTTAAAAAAAAATTAATAAATAAATCTTTGTTAAATTATTAAAAAAGGAAAGAAAAAACTTATTGAAAGAATAATTCTTACTTAGCTTTTGATAATTACTCAAAAAATGGGAACTCAAAAAAACAAACACTTTATTCAAATAAATATTATTAAAATGTTAAAGTATAGAAATTAATTTGATCATTATTGGGTTATTTGATTTAATTAATAATAAAAATATTTATTTAGAGATGAGTAAATTATATTTGAAACTCTTTTAAAAACACTAATAATTTTAGCAAAAAGTATTATCACTGATATAAATTTAAGAGTTTCTCCTTTGAAACAAAAATGAAAATATTTAATTTTGAATACATTAAATATTAAATTTGATTAATTGTTTTAAATAGAATTATAATAGTTAACTATTTTTAAAGTGAGAAAATATTTTTTTTTTTAATAGATTTGAGATAAGCCTAAAATAACTCACTTAAAATATTTATTTAAAATGTTTAGTCATTTTTTAGAATAGTTTATTTATTTATCTAAAATAATATTTTTTATTTAATAATTGGTTTATTTGATAATAAAAAATTAATTAATCAGCCACTGATTTTAATAATATTTACAATCTGATGAATATAAAAATTAAATAATTTTTTAGATTTAATAACAAAAATATTGAAAAAAAAGTAGAATAACTCTTGATTCCAAGGTTTAAATGATAAAGTTTTTGCCTTAAATTATTAGAATTAATAACAAATAAGTGTATAGAATGGATGAGTATAAAAAACTCATCTAAAATAATAGAGAATGGGCAGCAAAAATGAGAATAGAAGATCCACAATTTTTTTTGAATACTTCAAAAGAAATTGAGCATAAATACTTGTGGATAGGATGTTCTGATAGCAGAGTTTCTGCAGAGCAACTTACTAGTCTTCAACCAGGAGATATTATAGTTCATAGGAATGTAGCTAATTAGGTTATTCACACTGATTTAAACTGTTTATCAGCAATATAGGGAGCAGTTGATTTTCATAAAGTAGAACATATAATTGTATGTGGCCATTATGGATGTGGAGGTGTTAAAGCTGCAGTTGAAAACCCTAATTTAGGTTTAATTAATAATTGGATACTTCATATCAGAGATATTTATTTGAAACACAAAAGAATTATTGATTAGACAAAAGGAGATGAAAAATTTAACAAAATGAGCGAACTAAATACTATTGAATAAGTTTACAATTTAGGCAATACAACTGTTTTACAAAATGCTTGGAATAGCAAGTAGAAAATTTAAATTCATGGGTGGGTTTATGGTCTTGAAGATGGAAGAATAAAAGATCTTAATATCAGCTCCAGTAACTATAGAGAATTAGTCAAAAACTATAAAAGAGCAATAAAATACTTAAAAGAATAATGAGAATATTGTATTCAGTTTTTAAATTATTTGGAAATAATATAAAAACTGGATTAGCCAATAAACATATTTCATTTAAATAAAATCTAATAAATAAAGATAGAAAAATAAGTAAGTAAGTAAATAAATAAATAAGTTTTTGAAAATAAATATTTACAAAACATAAATAAATGATAAACAAACAAAATACAATCTAATAATTAGTTAATTATCTAATATAAGATATTTTTATAATATTAATTTTTCTTTGTTTGTTTTGGTTTATGGCTACCATACATAAATAAAGTGTTTCTTATTTTCAAGAAATGTTTCTTAAACTTCAATTTAATTATATTGACAAATTTAATTTGTATGGCATAACCTCTTTATTACCAAGATGTTTTATAAATCTTCATTTAATTGATTATTCGTTCATTTTCAAAATTTTTTGAGCTCCATTTGAACATTTCTCATTTTTCTATTTATCAGCTATCCTATTTTGCAGTCTGTCTAGAATTTAATAAATTAATTTTAAAGATTATTTGAAATTATTAATAAATTTAAAAATACCTTCTTCATAAAATAATAAATTTGTAACAAGGTTTTTATTCAAAAAATTACTCTCTTTTTATTTTAAAAAAGTTACTTGGTTTATCAATTATAAAATATTATTTTTTTATTACTAAATCCTATTTTTCATTAATTTGAATATTTTTTATTGGCACTTTTAAATCTAAATGTTTTATTAATTACATTCTATTATATAAAAAAACTTCTAACTTGATTTTTTGTTTTAAAATTGAAATACTCCCTTTTAAAATAATAATATAAATTAATATGTAGCTAATTTAAAATAAATTTACTATCTTTTATAGATCAGTAAAAATTGAATATGGTGAAAAGCTCACAAATGATAGTTTACAAACTATTTAAAATTTGAATAATTAGAATTATACTTTGTTATAAAATAATACTTTCTAATTGATAAAAAAGAATTAGGTTGATATATTTTAGATCTTTCATTTTTACATACTATTATTAAAAAAATAATATCAAATAACAATAGTATTTTATTTTCTTACATCCTATTTTAATAAGTTTATTGATATGTCTTCCTTACTTACATGTTAATTATTTTACATTCTATTCGATAATTTTACAAAAATAATTAATTAAAATTAAAAAAAAATTAAAATAAATTTACCTCCTATTTAAAAAAAAAAATCAATTTTAGAATCCAAAACAATTATATTAATCAATATTTTTACCAACTATTTAAAATAAATAAACTTTATTCAAGATAAAAGATCTAACTAAATATATTTTACTCCCTTTTATATTTTACGAGGTATTATAATGATAAATGATTTCTAAAATATTCATTACCCACTAAGTTAATTATCATATAATTAATATTTCTAAATAAAAAAAAATAACTTTACTTCGACTTTAACACAATTAGAGTTATTACACTTTTTATTTCATAAATAATTATTTTTATTTTTATCTGAAATATAAAAAAATACTGATTTAACATGATCTTCCATTTCTATTACTATTTTCTAATTTTTAAATTTAGATTTATGTTAAAAAATATTTGATAGAAATATTCCATTTAAAATTCAAATTTAATATTAAATTCAATCTCAAAAAAAATCAAACTGCTTTCTAAAAAAATTCTAACTAGATTTATGCTTTTGAATGTAATTAATAATATTTCATTATTTAATTACATTTCTTGTGTCTAAAAGTAAATCTTTAGTTGCTATTTTTTATAAAATAAATTTTAATTTGTAAATTGAGAAATTTTAATGTGTCAACCTTATCTCTCTTATGCTATATAGTCTGTTAGTTAGGAATGAGTCATCCTTTTAGAAGAAATAAATTATGGCTCTGTCTGCTGCATTTTCTTTAACTAACTGTTTTCTCTTTAAGGGCTTAAGTTTCTTTAATTATATTCTTGTTCTTTATAAAAAGCTTAAGTTGTTTTAATTTATTTTGAATATGTTAAATTGCTATCTTTAAAAATATTTTTTTCTTCTTCTCTTTCATGTTAATTATTTCTTTGAGGAGAAGATGTATACATCTTTTATTAAAAATACATACTGTTATTTTGATAATCGATGTGACTAGAATTTAATTGTCTCTTTTAAGGACTTACACTTTATTTAGGCTGTTTATATGATTCTAAATTCTACTTTGCTTCTTAGTTATAGGAGTAGTATGAATCTTATAATTCATTTTATTATTCCTATTCATTTTATCTAATTTGATCTTGCTTCTATTTTGCTTTCTTTAAATCCTACAAACAATCCTACTTATATTAGTTGAAATTTTATGGCTTGCTTAAATTTATTGCTCCTTTTGCCATGTCCTCTATTCTTTTACATAATCCTATCATTTACTTTGCATAATCAGTCGTATCCTATTCTAAATAATTGTTAATGGATTTTTCTAAATCAAAAAGTAGGACTTACTTTTCTTCGATCTTACAATAATACCTAAGCTCTTCTAAACACTTTTTTAAGGTTTAACTAGTTAATGGCTGCTAAGTTATACTTTCATACTATTTACAAATTACATTCCAATTAGAATTTAGCAATATTTAATTTTTTGTCTCAGAGTATATTCTGATCACATCTCTAACATTATTTTCTAAGATTCTACAAGTTGCTTTAATACATTCAATGCTTTTTATTATACCTTCAAGGCATGAACTTATGTCACTATTTTATTCGATTGAAGCAATACCTGAGCTAAAATCTAATCTTTGTTATGCTAATAAGTTAGATTTCTATTACAATTTTATTTTTTCACTTTAAAGTGCTTGATTCCCTATTTCTCTTAAAATAGAAGGGACAGAAGTATTTTAATGATTTGGAAATTTATGGATTTATTCTTCTAGGCATTAAGCACATAAAGGATTCAATTATTGGTGGAATTCACATCTTTCATCCACACACACCATATTTAATTGCATAATCTTATGTTCAGAATTTATATCACAATTTGGTAAACTAATCTTATTTAATTCTTGCAATTTCTCTTGGCGATTTACTTCATTATTAGCATTAATAGATGGAGAGCCTCCCATATTTAAGAAATAAATATCTTTTAATTATCTTAATTTATTTTTAACAGATATTTCACTTTTTGATGAAAATAATTTAATTAAAAATATAATATCACTAAATAATCAACTATTGGTGAAAAATTGCTTTACTTTAATATTTTTTAGAATTATGTAAATATAAACGCTTGAGAATATTTAAAATTTGAGTCGATTTAAAAACCTTTCTATATAATTGAAAATATTTCATTTATCATCATTTAATTTTGGATAGTTTTTTAAAAAAATATTACAATTTTTTTTTAAATTAAGTTAATTTAATAAGTCTTTATATTTAAAAATTTAAACCTTCCCAAAATATAGTAGTTAGTGTAAATTATATAGTACTCCTGGAGTTTGGGGGGGGGGGGGGGGGGTTGGTGAGAATTAATGAGGATTTAGGGTAATTAAAAAATTTTTCTCCTTTACACCTTTTTCACCAAAAAATAAAATCTCCAATTTAAGAATTAAATTAATTTTTAGTTTACTATTATTAAAATTTGCTAAAAATCCCATTTAAAAATACATTTGATATATAAAGTATCAATACAAACAAATATTAGTTAGAATATATCAATCATTCTTCAATGTGCTTACTTATTTAATGCATAACCAGCTTTTTGTAAATATTATTTTTTTAAATCAATTCTTCATGAGTACCTTCTTCTTTTAATTAACCTTTCTCCATTACAAATATTTTATCACTTTTAACTACTGTACTTAACCTATGAGCTATAACAATTATAGTCAAAGAATGCTTTTAGCTTTCAATTAATTAGTCAATATACTTCTAGACTGTGTGCTCGCTTTCTGCATCTAAAGAACTAGTTGCCTCATCTAAAATTAAAATACTGGGTTTCTTCAAAAGCGCTCTCGCTATTGCAATTCTCTATTTCTAGCCACCACTAAGCTTAGATCCATTTGCTCCGATAAGTGTTTTTAAACCTTCTGGAAATCTCTTTTTATCAAATGCAAACTCACTCACTCCTGAGTAATCACAAACTTTCAATAAGTCTTCTTCACTATATTCTTCACAACCATAAGTAATATTATATAAAATATCGTTGTCAAGAAGGGTTGGATCCTAACTCACATACCCAATACTTTACTTGATTTATTTAATTGCAATGTTTTTAGCATTTTTGTCATCGAAAAACACACTTCCACTATTAGGATCATAGAGTCTTAAAAGGAGTTTGGTAATTGTTGATTTTCCACTTCCACTCTTACCTACAAAAGAAACATATTATCCTTTTTAAATTTCAAAGGACACATTTTCTAATGTATTTTTGGTTACTTTATTTTAGATTTATTCTGACTCTAAAAAAATCTCAGACTCGTCATTTAAATTACTTTAAGCTAAAGTGTAATTTTCTTAAGCGTTTTTTTATAAAGTTAAACTTTGATTTGTTGAAGACTTATTTGATTCATAAAATTATTAATTCATCTTAGCTAATTTGTCATTTGATAAAGGATAAGAAAAGTATACATTTTTAAAAGAGATACCTTAGCTTAAATTTAATTGCTCATCAAATTTAATTATTGTCTCAGAAAGCAGAGATTTTTACTCAAAAAGCTTCATTAATTTTCCAATATCCTTTACTTATTCAGTAAAGTAATTATAATCACTTTTTTGTATTAGCTAATAAATTTAGTCATAAAAATATTCGATTGACTGATAAAAACTTTAAATTTCAGAAAAGGCAAAAAGGATTTCCAGATTTGAATCTACAGAAGTTTTTGAAATGATGAGCAGTTATAGAAATATAGACATTTTTAGTAGCATACTTTTTTAAATTAAAAACATTGATTGAGAATTAACAAAACTATTAATATTTTAAGAGCTATTTAGTTTTTGTTGAATCATTCTATTCATATTTTGAATCTCTTTTTTTTCAGTACCAAATTATTTTATAGTCACAATATTAACCAATAAGTCTCTGACTTAAAAACTCTAAAATGTTTTAAGTTTACTGTTTCCCTTTTCTAATAAACTTATTTACTTTTTGAACTACAAATTTTTGTAAAATAATAAGAATATAACAATATGTGATATTAAAGCCATTTTAAAGTTAAGCTTAAAAAAGAGGTAGATCACACAAACATCCTTGAAGTATCTAGCAAGTATACTAATTTACTATGAATTTTAAATATAATTTTATAGTTAAAACACTCCATTTGTTATAATTTAAACCATCTCAACGCATTTGTTTTCTTCAAAGTAATGTATATCCAAAGTAAGTGCATGTTTAACGGTTTTTGACTAAATCTTTTTTTAATTTTTTAATTGAAACTTTCTATAAAGATAAAGATTTTCAATTATAGCAAATATATCTTTTGAGAACTTAGCAGTGAGGTAGAAAAAGAAATAATTCCACTTTTCATCATTATTATTATTCTATGAAATAATTTATTTTAATTAAATGAGTAATTATGTACTTAGAGAATCTATATAAGTTATAAGTAATGATAATATAGCTAAGAGATTTATCCAGAAGATGCCAACTTAAAAATTTTTAAATAGAAAATTTAAAATTTCAGCTTGAGAAGGTAGGTAAACATAATCATCTTTATTATCAGTTTATCCTTCTTATTTTGGATTTTATTTTTTAAATATTTTTTAGATAGACTATGCTAATTTTTACATTTTTGTTTGTTATTTATTTTTTTTGCTATTAATTATTATTTAGATTTGAGATTGTTTATCTTTTTCAATTCATTTTTTTAATTTACTTACTTATCAATTCCGAACAAGATTTTATTAAATATATTATTTTTTCTGATCAAAAAAGATCAAATATAAGAAAAACTAGTTTTTTTTTTCAGATTGAATTGTTATATATTCAGTTACTCAGTTTTTATATTAAAAACTTTTATATTTAAATATTCAATTCAAAAAAATAAAATTTTTACTAGAGTAATATTGTAAAATTTTAAATTAAAACATGTCTAGCTAAAACCCATAAGAGAAATCAATGGTATGAAAAAATAAAAGAAATATTTATTTATTTATTTTTATTTTCTTAAATAAGTCAAAATTTTTCTGCTACTTTTAATATTTTATTTTTTAGTTTTAATTTTGATAAGTATATTTATTGTTTATCTATTTCTATAAATTTATTCTTTTAATTTCTGAATCAAAAAATTGAAAAGTGATTTAAATTAGCATATCTTATAATTTATCATAAGAATGATTTGATTCTCAATCCATTTTTTTCTGCTAATCATAAATGAAAAAAGAATTCAAATTATTAAAAATCTATTTTAAATTCGTTTTCAATTAATTTTTTTAATTTACTTACTTATCAATTCCGAACAAGATTTTATTAAATATTTTATTTTTTTCTAATCAAAAGAATCAAATATAAGAAAAAGTAGTTTTATTTTTTAAGATTTAATTGTTATATATTCAGTTACTCAGTTTCTATATTAAACACTTATATATTTAAATATAAATTTCAAAAAAATACAATTTTTACTATAAATATGTCTAGTACCCATAAGAGAAAATAGAATGAAAAAATAAAAGAAATATTTATTTATTTTTTATATTTTTTAATATGTCAAAATTTTTCTGCTACTTTTAATTTTTTTTCTTTTTTAGCTTTAATTTTGGTAAATATATTTGTTATTTATCTATTTCTATAAATTTATGAAATCCTTTTAATTTCTGAACAAAAATTGAAAAGTGATTTAAATTAGCATATTTAAAAATTCATGATAAGGAAAATTTTATTCTCAATTCATTTTTTTTCTGCTTGTAATAAAAGTAAAAGAATTCAAATTATTAAAAATCTTTTTTAAATTCTTTTAAAAAGTAAGGTTGTCTATTAAGTACTAAGGTGAGCCAATATTCGATAAATAATATTAAATTAAAAAAATAGATTCATCAAAAATGAAAAAAATAATAGAAAAAATCAATAAAAAAATTGATAAATAAAGCCTTGATGATGAAGACTATATCCCTAGCTTAATAGAAGCCAATTTATTTTACCTGAAATATGTTAAAATTAATTTGGCTGATTTTGCTTATTAAAATTTAAAGAGTATAGTCAACTTTGTAATAAGTGTTAGAAATCCTTTCCTTTTACTTGAAATATAATCAGCTCTGATAAAAATGGATGAATCTAATCTCTTATTCTTTTTAGGAGAGTTTTTAATCTATTTTTGTTTAAATTTATTTCTTTAATCAATTGATAAAGCTGAAAGATAAACTTACAATTTTTTACAATAAGAAATTTAATCTTAAATATGTGAACACATCTTGAAAATGGATATCTCTTATTTTGAAAATAATACATGCTCTGAGATTGAAGAAATAATTGTAAATTCCTCTAGTTTGATTGCGGCAGATGTATATTATAGTCCAATAGTAAATAAGATTAAAACATTTATATAATGTGCTGGATAAATATACTTAATTTATTCACTAAGTCCAATAATATTTCTTACTCTTTTATCCTTAAGCTTTATAGGAAGTTTTCTCAAACAATTTTTTCAAGAAAAACAAAATAAGGAGTATAATAAAATATAGTTAAATTCAACCTTCAAATCTTTTGTGTTGACAGATGTATTTAACAATATTTTTCTTATTAAATGTTTTGGAACTGAAGAAAAAGAGGCGGCAAAGATGGATGATATAAACTAAAAATAAGAAGATAGGAATAAAACTTATTACTTTTACTAATAGTTTAATTATGTTTTAGAATCTTAATTTACTTTTATTTAGGGTATTATAATTATTATTCAAGTACTTTCACTTAAAATTGAAATGCCAAATTAATCATTAGATATATCTTAATCTTTAACATAAATTATAGCATACTCTTGGTATCTAAATTATTATACAGATAAGATCGTTAAACTCATAAAAAAGAGTAAAGATTTTGAAAATACAAATTATAGAAGCTTAGGAAAACTTATTAAATTGCTAAATACCTAACCAAAAATTGATTAAGACATTTATAATTCAACTGGAGAAACCGATTTACTTAAAGGAGAAATAAGCTTTGAAAATGTTTATTTTAAATACCCTAAAACAAGAGATATTCTATCTAAAATGAATCAAAATTGTAATGAAATAAAGCTAAATAACACTGACAAAAGCCGCTAGGTAATTTAAACAGACGTTAAAGATTTTTCTTAAAACCTAGCTTTATAAAAGTAATAGTCTGAAAGAGATTATGCCTTGAAAGATATTTCCTTTAATATTAAATAAGGTCAATTTGTTTCCTTTGTTGGAATGAGTGGAAGTGGTAAATCTACTATCGTTAAGATATTATAAAGATTTTACGATGCGGATTCTGGAACTATTTTAATGGATAATAAAAATGTGAAAGATATACCAATTTCCAAATTGAGGAGAAGTATAGGTATAGTTAGCTAAGAGCCTATTTTATTTGATAATGATATAGAATACAACATAACCTATGGTTTATAGACTATGGAGTATAGCCAAGAAGATCTTTAGCATATATGTGATGCTTCAGGAGTAAGCGAGTTTGTATTTGATAAAGAAAGATTTCCATAAGGATTGAAAACTCTTATAGGTACTAAAGGTGTGAAACTCAGTGGTGGATAGAAATAAAGAGTTGCTATAGCAAGAGCATTAATGAAAAAACCTACTATCCTTATTTTAGATGAGGCTACTAGTTCTTTAGATTCTGAGAGTGAATCTGAAGTTTAAAAATATATTAATTAGTTAGCTTGCAATAAAGAGATTACAATAATAGTTGTGGCTCATAGATTAAGTACAATCATAAAAAGTGATATTATTTTTGTAATGGAGAATGGATAAATTAAAGAAATGGGTAAGCATTCTTAATTAATAGAAAAGAATGGCGGAATTTATTAGAATCTTTTTAATTTATAAGTCAATTTTTAAAAAAATACTTAAATTCTTTGAAATTTTATCTAAAAACCATTTTTATAACTAATTATTTATTAATAAATTGTTTTAATATAATAATCAAATTATGTTTAATAATGTTAGCGTAAATTATATTTTTATTATTATCTAGGATCTTTTTAATCAATTTAATTCAATTTTTAAACCTAAATACATACTTATAAGATTTAAAAAAATAATTTTCATTTTTAAAATTTATTAAAAAATGTATAATAATTTATTTTATCAATTATTTTGATTAATTAATTAAGAATGTTTGAAAGTATTAAAATTTAAAATATTATTAACTATTTTTAATCAAAAAAAAATTAGAAAGTTTAATTAAATAAGGCAGATTGATATTTTAATATAACAAAATAATATAAAAAATACACCTTAATATATTTTAGTTTATTTTTTATTTAATAAAATAAAATATTAATCATTTTTTCTTTTTTTAACAAGACCCATTCGCTAGGACGTATCCTTCTCTACAAGAATCACATGAACGAGGATCCATGGCTTTTGTGCATGTATTGCAAGATTCGTGACAACTTCTGAGGTTAGAGTTAGAATTTTTTTGGCACATAAAATTGTTTAAAGTGTAGCCAGAAACACATGTCAAACATCTATTATCATAGAATTCACAAGTAGCACATGGAGATGAGCAGGGTTTGCATTATTAACCTCTATCAATATATTATCCAGATGAACAAAAAATATCACAGGTGTAAGAAACTTAATTGTGTTTATATCCTGAAATACAACTAGTGCATTAAGTAGGATAAAATTAGCAAGTTTCACATGGAGATGCACAATCTTTGCATTGATTGCTTTATTAGTCTAGGTATTGACCTGATTTGCAAACAGGAATACACCTACCATAATTTTTATCTAATTAGAAATCTTATTAACAAGAAGTACAAAAGTTTGAAAATCTGTTACAAGTCAAACAAGAATTTTCACACTGAAGACATTATCCTCTATTATTTATGTAAAAACCATCAAAACAAGATTTACAAGCTTAAGAATTATTTGCTTGGCTGCATTCTTTGCAAGAAGGATGACATTATTAACTTGTTTAGTTTTTAATACATCTTTAGGTTTTTTAATCAAAAACATATCCATTATTACATTCAGTACAATTATCTTAAAAGTTTACACATTTAGAGCAAGATTCATCACATCTCTAACATTGACCTTATCCATTTCTGAAAGATCCATCTTGACATTTTTATGATTAGCATGAATTTCTTTAGAGTGTGAAACCATTTTTACAGCTGGTACATCTTGTACTCTAATATTCACATGTGGCACAAGAAGAATCGCAAGGTTTACATTGATTATTTTCAGCTAAGTATTAACCATCATTACAAGTTACATAATCAAACTCACACTACAGAGTTTTTTAATTCAATTTATAACCAGAAACGCAGCTAGAACATCTGTTTGGGTAGTAAAAGCAAGAAGCACAAGGATTTGTGCATTTCTAACATTAAAAGTTTCTGTCCAAATACTCATCACTATTACAAGTTGGTTTACTATCTACGCAAAGGCCTGTTTTAGGATCTACTGAAAATCCTTCATTGCAAGTAGTACAGTTAGTTGCGATTCCTGAACAAGTTAAACATGAAGGGTGACATTATAGACATTACTTGTTTTGTAAGAATTATTTCCTTTCGCAAGATGTACAAATATCAGCTTCCCTTTCACAAGTTTAGCATTTATCACTACATTAGTAGCATCTTCCAGATTGTAAATACATTCCACTTTTGCAAGTAATACATGCATTAGGATCATCAAATCTGCTACATTCACCACAGCTATCATGGCAGGCATACTTCATAGGATTACAAGTTTTATATTATTCATCATAAGCATAACCAGCTATACAACTTTAACAATAATCTTGATAATTTTTACAAGTTGCACATGGGGATTAACATTTTTAGCAATTACCATTTCTATCTTAGAATTCATTTAAATTGCAAGCAGGAACACATTAGCTAGTTCTTTGATCTAACTTATATCCTCTTACACAATCTGTACATTTTCTGATATCACCACTACATCCATAGCAATTTTTATCGCAAGGAACGCACAAATTATTTAACATTACATAATTAAAAGCACATCTTTTACAAGCCTTTGAATCATAAGCTATAGTGCACCCACTACAACTTTCATGGCAATTCATCAAACACCTTTTATATTCAGCATTATATTCCCATCCTTAAGCACATTTAATACAGCTATCAGCTTTTTAAGAACAAGTAGAGCAAGATTCATCACATTTTTAGCATCTTCCTTCATTATTAACAAAAAACCCATCTCTACAAGAAGTGCATTTTGTAGGATCTCTAAAAGCAGAGCAGTCAAGACAAGAACTATCACAAGAATTTTAAGAAACACATTTTCCGCTAAATCTATCCATAAAGTATCCCTAACTGCAAGTGGTGCATTCAGTAGCTGAGTTGAAACAGTTTTCACATGGCGATTAACAGTATTGACATGTATTTCTAGAATCTAAATACTTTCCATCAGGGCATGAAGTACATTAGTTTGAATTAGGTCCTGAGCAAGATTGACAACTTGAATGACAAGTCTTTTCAACGCATTTATTTCCTTAAAGGGAATAGCCATCATTACAAGAAAGACATTAATTAGAAGCTGAACCAAAGCAAGCTGAGCAGTTTACTGAGCACAAAGTACAGTTACCTGTTTATTAATCTCCATAATATTTATAAGGACAAGTAGGTTTACATGTATTATCGAAGTTTTTAAACTATCCACGTGGACAATTTTAAACACATCTATTGCCATCCCAGACATATTCATCAGGACATCTTTAAGAGCAATCAGCTCCAGCATATCCTTTGAGGCAAACACAATAACCATTATTACACACACCACTATTAGAGCAATTATTTGGACAAGACTTAGGGAAATTGCAAAATAAGTCAAAATCATGAGGACATTTCATTGTACCTTAAGTAGTTTTAGTTTATTCAGCTAAGTTAATAACTTGATTAGGATATTTACAAGTAACATATTCATCACCCCAAACATTAACTTTAATAGATGATATATCGCTTGCACATTAAGCTTTAAAGCATCTTCCTTTCATATCTAACACTTCATAACCCCTGACATTTGCATTTGATCTAAAACATCTGGATCCTTTACCAGTATTTTATCTTAACTCTTCATTAGGCTTAAATTCCTCTGAAGAACAAAAGCTGTTGCTAAATGTATATATGGTTTTACATTATGAATAAAAATCATAATTTTATGGACTTCCAATACCTTCAGAATAAAAATCACAAGATTCTTAAACAGAATTATCTGGGAATTCTGGGAAGTCTTTACCAGCTTAACATGTCTTATTGAAAAAATCACATCCTTTATTTTTACCCCAATATATAGGATTGAGAAAATTAGAATTTATTTCAGCATAGAATCCAGTATCAAGAAGTAAAGCAGCAGTAAATTCGGACATAGTATAGGTACGATAAACTATACTAGCAGTCATGAATTCATTAGAAAGTAAATCTCTTTCAAAGTGAGAACCCATAGAACCAGCACCACCTTAATTTTCAAGATACATTCCATCAATTGAAGGACAGCCATAGTAGTTTCTTGACAGTTTTAAAATATTTTTAGAGGATACTTTAACAACATTATTTATTTCCCATCTTGTCTCTCTTTTCAACACTTTATTAACATTTGATACCCCATATGGTTTATTAGTATCAGGATCAATCCAATATTAGATACTATTACTAGAAAAACCTAGTACATGGAGAATTTCATGTAAAGAGGTTGAAAAGTTATCTTAGAAAGATTAAGTGGATGATTCATCAATATTCATTTTGCCGATATTAAATAAAACCCTTCCGATAGTAGGGTTAGGATCAAGTTAACACCATACTTTTTTAATAATAAATAATTTTATTAAATTTATAAATTTAATGATATAATAATACTTACTTGCATTAGCCAAAAATGAGGTGTTGGGTTAATTAGAGTATGAGACATAAATATGTAGATCAGAATTTTCAATACCTACAGTTCTTATATTTTCAGGTAGTTTTATATCGTGACATGATTCTTAATTGTAATTAACCTTAATAGGTTTTTATCTTGGGTAAACCTTAATTAGTTTAGATAAATAAATCTGAGCAGCATACATAATTTTTTTTAAATATTCCTTTATGTTAGGAGTCATTCCATCTCCATTCAAAGGATTATCAAACTCTTTGAAGTCTATAGTAATTCTAATAGGTTAAGGTTCTTATTATTATAGTTTTCTGTGCCCATACTTTTCATCAAAAGTTTCTAGATAGTCCTTGGGAACTATTTCACTTAAATCTATTTCATCTTATAAACAGGAATAAGTACCCACTGATTATTCGTTACTGTGAGCATTTACTATCAAAATAGTAAGCAGCAGTAAATTAGCAAATTTCTTCATTTTTTTTTTTCTTAGATTTTACACTTTTTTATGTTAATATAAAATTAGATAAATTAAGTTGTCCATAAAATGTGCTTTTATAGATAAATTCACACTTATATAAATTTACAAATTATATATAGTGATTATCATCTATTTTCAAGCAAAGCAAAACACCAAAAATAAATTACTGGATAATTTAATTTAATCTAACTATTACTAAAATTTTTGAATAGGTGAAAATAAAAATTATACACATATACATACACTATGTAACAAATCTTTCAAAATAAAATATTTCTGAAAAGCATAAATTCAGGTTGTTAATTTAGTTTTAAAATATGCCTTTTAAGTAATTTGAAAAAATTATTTTTAATAATCAATAGATTTAATATGTTTTCAAAAATCACTTATACATTTATTATTATATTAATTAATGATTTGATTTTTACTGGACTTAAAGAAACTAATAAAATGTATCATACTAATTAAAATACAAATATGAGCAAAATTAAATAAATACTATCAAAAGAAAGATTTTTGATTTATACCCTTTTAATTTGATCTACAAAATATTGTAAGTATTAAGTAGATCAAAAGGATGAATTAAGTAAGATTTATAGACTAGACTCTAAAACATAATTTTTATAGCTTAACTAATGCAAATAAGCATTTAATAAATAAATATACTTAGAATAAATAATAAAAACGAAAGGTATGAAAGTAATATTTATTAGCTTAGTATTTAGCATCTAGTTAAAGAATTTATTTAAATTTAGAATAACATAAAAAATGTAAAGATAGATGTCATTTTTAAATATAATTTTAAAAAAGATTTAGATTTCTACTATAAATTAGACTCTATTTAATCTATATTTTAGGGTAAGAAAATAAAAATTTATTACTGATAATAAACATTTATAGAACTCGAATGAAAATAAATCAGTTTTGCCAAAACTAAAATAATTTCAACTATATAATTTAAAAATTATAACTTCACTTACTCTTAATTATCTATGTGTTTTACTTTTTATTAAATACTGATATTTTCTTTTCATTATTACAAAATTTAGTTATACTTATTTTTTTTGGTAGAATTTATCAATAAATCTTAATAAGGAAGTACCAACCTTATTTAATTACTTCAAACTATCTTTCAACCTTTATAACTAAGTAATTAACTATTCAACCACAGTATAAAATCTAAGTAGGTATTACAAAAAAATAAGGGTGTACCATCTATTTATTATTTTAGTTTTTATGGAAAAAAATTAATTTTATGCTAATTAAATTAAAGCTTTACAGATCCCAATTTTTATGCTTTTAGTAAGATTTAAGATTTTATTTATTTATTTAAGAAACTCTTATTTTAGAATTTTAGTAATTCAAATATTAAAAGGAATAGTAAAAATTCTTTTGAACATTATTTATCAATAAAATGTATTTTCCTTTAAAAATGATTTTAATAATTATTACTAAAAGTTAATTTATTTAACAAAAAACATATTAAAACTTGACATTTTTCAATAAAATATTAAAATTTACTAAATTAAATAACATTAAATAGATTAAAGATGAGATTAAAATTAATTTTTTGTGCTTTAATCTTTTACATAAAATTAAAATTAATATAATATTATTTTTTTTTTTAAATCAATTTTATAAAAATTTTGAAATCATAATTCTTTTTTTTTAGATACAATAAAAAAAAGTTTTATATGAATTAAACTATTAATTAAAGAATGAAGATTTGCATTATAAATATGAAAAAACTTTTCCTAAAAAATTGAAGAAAAAAAATTTCAAATAAAAGATATAGATAGATTATTTTAACAAACATTCAACAATAAATTATAATCAATTTTTTGGTTCAAAATAATTTCCTTTCTTCTTTTGGCAAGTTCTATTTATTAAAATGTATCCTTCTTTACAAGAATCACATGAATTAGGATCCATTGCTCTAATACAAGAATTACAAGATTCATGACAATATCTTAAATTAGTTTTAGAATTTTTTAAACATTGATAATTGCTGTAAGTGTAATCTTAAACACAACTTAAGCATTTGTCATCATAATCTTCACAAGTCTCACAAGGAAACGAGCATGGTTTGCAATATAAACCTCTATCAGAATACTCTCCAAGTCGGCAAAGAATGGTACAGCTTTAACTTTTACTGTTATAATTATATCCTTAAATACAGCTAGTACACTAACTTGGATTAAATTCACAGCTCTCACAAGGATATGCACATTGTTTACATAAATTAACACTCTAGTCTAAGTATTCACCATACTTACATTCTGGGATACATCTACCTTAATTTCTGTTTAATTTAAATCCATTTTAACACGAAGTGCAAAAATCAGAATATCTGTCACAAGTCTAACAATTATTTTTGCATGGAAGGCATTATCCATTGCTTAAATAGTTACAATCATAACATGATTAGCAAGCAAATGCATTATTACTTTAATTGCATTATTTACAAGTATGATGACATTTTTAATAGCTTTCATTTATAACACATGTCTATGTTCTTATATTATAAGAATATCCATCAGCACATTCAGTGCAGTTATCATAATAATTTATACATTTTCTACATGAATTGCTACATTTTTAACATCTTCCATACTAATTAATGAATGATCCATCTTAGCATTTATCTTCATAACAAGAATTTTTTGAAAGAGTAAAGCCATGTTTACAACTTGTGCATCTATTACTGTATATATCACAAGTGGCACAAATTCGATCACAATATTTACATTTATTATCAAAATCCAAGAATTCTCCTTCATAACAAACCGGATTAAATTATTAACACTAAAATGTTTAAGAATTGTAAATATAACCAGAAATACAGCTTTAACATTTATTTGGTAAATTGAAGCAAGAAGCGCAAGGTAATTCACATTATTAACATTGATAATCTTTATCCAAATATTCGTTACTTTTACATCTAGGTAAATTATTTATGCAAAGACCTGTCAAAGGATCTTTTGAGAAACCTTATTAGCAAGAAGTGCAATTTGTTGAAATTCCAAAACATGTTTAGCAAGAACTGTGACATTAAAGACATTCATAGTTGTTTAAAAATTATTTCTATTTGCAAGAAGTACATTAAAAAGCATTTTTTTCACAAGTTTAACATTTACCGCTACATTAATAGCATTCACCATTTATCAAATACATCCCATCTTTACATTTAGTGCATGAGTAGGGATCATTATTTCTACTACATTAATCACAGGTTTCATGACAAAAACTATTTGTAGGAATGCAAGATTTATAATAAAAATCATAAATATAACCTGATAAGCAGGTAATGCAATTATCACTGTAAAATTGGCAAGTAGCACATGGTTATTAACATTTTTAGCAGTTCCCTTTTGAATCTTGGAACTCATCTGATCTACATGTAGGTACACATATATCATAATATGAATCTAAATAGTATCCTTTTGCGCATTCGTTGCATTTTTTAGGATTTTCTGTACAACCATGGCAGCTTTTATCACAAGGAACGCATTAATTATTTGACATCACATGATTAAAAGCACATCTTATACAAGCTTTTGGGTCTAAAACTAATGTACATGTATCACAACTTTCATGGCAGTTATAGAAACACCTTTTTTTACTAGCGCTATATTCCCAACCTTAAACACATTTAATACAATTATTACCTCTCATTGTACAGATGGAGCAAGATTAGTCACATTTTTAGCATTCCCCATATTCGTTTAAGAAAAAACCATCTCGACATAAAGTACATTTTGTAGGATCCCTAAAAGCAGAACAGTCAAGACAAGAACTATCACAAGAATTTTCAGAAACACATTTTCCACTAAATCTATCCATAAAGTATCCCTAACTGCAAGTAGTACATTCAGTAGATGAGTTGAAGCAATTTTCACAAGGTGATTAGCAATGTTGACATGTATTTCTAGAATCTAAATATTTTCCAGCTGGACATGAAGTGCATTAGTTTGAATTAGGTCCTGAGCACGATTGACAACTTGAATAACAAATCATTTCAACACATTTATTTCCTTAAAGAGAATAGCCATCATTACAAGAAAGACATTAATTAGAAGCTGAACCAAAGCAAGCTGAGCAGTTTACTGAGCACAATGTACAGTTACCTGTAAATTTTTCTCCATAATACTTATAAGGACAAGTAGGTTTACATGTATTATCTAAATTTTTAAACTATCCACGTGGACAATTTTAAACACATCTATTGCTATCCCAGACATATTCTTCAGGACATCTTTAAGAGCAATCAGCTCCAGCATATCCTTTGAGGCAAACACAATAGCCATTATTACACACACCACTATTAGAGCAATTATTTGGACAAGACTTAGGGAAATTGCAAAATAAGTCAAAATCATGAGGACATCTCATAGTACCTTAAGTAGTTTTAGTTTATTCAGCTAAGTTAATAACTTGATTAGGATAATTACAAGTTACATATTCATCATCCCAAACATTTACTTTAATAGATGATAAATCATTTGCACATTAAGCTTTAAAGCATCTTCCTTTTATATCTAAAATTTCATGACCCTTGATGTTTGCATTAGATCTGAAACATTTTGACCCTTTTCCAGTGTTTTATCTTAGAATTTCATCAGGTTTAAATTAATATGAATCACAATAACCATTTCTATATGTATAAATTATTTTACATTAAGAAAAATCATCATAATTTTAGAGACTGCCAATTCCTTCATAGTAAAAATCACAAGATTCTTAAGTATTATTTGGGAATTCATGTAAGTCCTTTGCAGTATTACATGAATTGTTAAAAAAATCACATCCTTTATTTTTACCCCAATATATAGGATTGAGAAAATTAGAATTGATTTCAGCATAGTAGCCAGTATCAAGAAGTAAAGCAGCTGTAAATTCAGAAATAGAATAAATGCGTTAAACAATACTAGCAGTCATGAATTCATTAGAAAGTAAATCTCTTTCCCAGTGAGAACCCATAGATCCGGATCCTCCTTAATTTTCTAGATACATACCATTAATTGAAGGACAGTTATAATGATTTCTAGAGACTCTTAAAATATTTTTAGAAGATATTTTTAGAACATTATCTATTTACCATCTTGTTTCACTTGTCAAAATCTTACTTACATTATTTTCTCCATAAGGTTTATTTGTATCAGGATCGATCCAGTATTAGACGCTTTTACCTGTAAAGCCTAGAATATGTAAAATTTCATGTAGTGAAGTAGAGAAATTATCTTAGAAGGATTAAGTTGAAGATTCATCTATATCCATAGCGCCTATATTAAATAGGACTCTTCCAACATTTGGCTAGGGATCTAACTAACACCAGACTATTCAAAGATTAAAAAATTGTTAATTAAAATTTTTACATAATAAAGCTTACTTGCATTTGCTAAAGTCTAGGATTTAGGTAAATTTGAGTATGTAACAAATATATGTAAATCAGAATTCTCAACACCTATTTTTTTTATGTACTACGGGATTTTAATATCATAACAATTTTCATTATCCCAAATATATTTAAGAGGTCCTTGTCTTGGATAAACTTTGATTAGCTTAGTTAAATATATTTGAGCAGCATACATGATTTTTTTTAAGTATTCCTTTTTACTAGGAGTCATTCCATCACCATTTAGAGGATTTTCAAGCTCATAGAAATCTAGAGTAATTCTAATTGGTTAAGGTTCATAACTTTTAAGTATCCTGTTTCCATATTTCTCTTCAAAGGTTTCTAAATAATCCTTGGGAACCATTTCACTTAAATCTATTTCATCTTATAAACAAGAGTTCACTGCTTCTTATTTATTAACATTTTATGCATATACTATGAAGATAGTATAAAGCATTAATATAGCAGATTTGTTCATTTTCAAAATTATTTACATTAAAATTTTTACTTTTAAATTTTTCATTAAATATTATAAAATATTTAGTAATTAAAGCTTGATTTCTTTGCTATATAAGCTATAAAATAATGAAGGTTACTTTTATTTTATTTATTTTTATTAATTACTATAACTTAAGGTTTTAATAAATCAATAAGAGATTGTTCAATACAAAAATTTTAAATTAAAGAATATAAATTTTAAAATAAATGCTATTTTAAGGTAATGGACAGAATTCTTTTTAAAATAATTTTGAATTAACATTATATTTATTTTTAAAATTTATATTTTATCAATTTATTTTAATATATTTAAAAAGGTGTTACAACTTAGAAAAATATAAATCACAATTATTATGAATATTAATTAAATTTATCATACTAGTTATAATAAGTAATAAATAAAAGCCAAATAATCCAAAAACTAAATCCCTTTTGATTAAATTATCTAAATAAAATTATTAAATAAAAAAATAGATAAAAGCTAATTATTTATTTATTTATGGTCAGTAAACAATATTTTTTTGAAATTTATCAATTTACATTTTCTATTTTTAAGCTGTAGATAAATTTAAAAATTTAAATGAGTAAATTTATTTTTTAGAGACTATAAGTTTCTAAAAACTAATTTTTGATGTATCATGAAATTTATCATACTTAAAATTCTAAAAACTAAATAAATAAAATATTAAAAATAAAATGAAAATTTTATTAAAAAGCTGATTTCATATTTAACCTTAAATTATTTAAAAATAAAAATAAATATTATGCTAAAAATTAAAATTGATTTTTAGTATAAATATCTTTGCTTATATTTTTATTAGACTGAAGATAGAAAAAAATGAACAATATTTATTACTAGCTCAATAATATAATAGTACTTAAATTTAATCAGAATTTATATTTACAATTATTTGAAACAAGATAAAACCTAGTGGATATTATTTTATTTATTTTTTATAAACTGTACTGAATCTAGTAACCTAAAAAGAATTAATTAGATATTACTAAAAATATTATTAATTTAAGTATTAGGTCTAGAATCATTAACTTTATATTAATGAAGCAAAAAATATATGCCAATCTTACCAAAATTCCAAATAGAATTTTATAAATTTATAATATTTAAATTTTCATTTGAATATTCAATTTAAAGTTAATTAAACAATCTTGTTATGTAATAGACTCATAAATATTCTATTTATATAATAAATACATTTTTAAAAATTAAAAAGAATATTTTTTTAATAAATAGAATATAAAGCTAAAATGTTATTTAAATTAGTTAAATTTAATTAATGATGATAATAATTTAATCAAGCTGGGTCTATAAATAGTAATTTTGAAAATTAAATTCAACTAGTTTATTTCCATTGATCTTTTGATAAATTATATATATATATATTTTTCTTCATTTATTAAACATTTATGTGTTCTATGATACTATATATTGTTACAATCTGACTCTATTTATAGACTAAGGTTCATTATTCACTTTTTCTAATTTTAGTTTTATTATGTTTAAAATTAAATTAAAAAATTCTTAGAGTTTAAAATATAAAATATTCTAAGTATAATTCAAACCTTATTATTAAGGTATTAATAGTAATATATTTTAATAAATTATATAAAAGTTAATATTAAATCAAGAAATGCTTAATTTTTAAAAATAAAAACATCAAATCTAAATTAAATGTGGATTCATTTATGAGAAATCTTTTAAAAGATTTTTTATATTATTTGTAATGTCTTCTAATGTTATATTTATTATCTCAGATTATCAAAATAAATTAATAAACATTAATTTTAAACTTGTTCCTTCAGTCTAAGATTTTTTTTAATGCACAAATTTATTACTTAAGTTCATAACCAAATTTATGTTAACATTGAGCTTTTCTCTAAAATAAATCATCAAACTTAACATAGTCCAACTATTTTCATAACTTACTATTTTTAAAAATTTGCAAATATTATTCTTTTAAATGTATTTCAGATTCCACGATAAATCTTAATTTTTAGTTACATCTAAGATAATCAGCTTGATTTAATTTAACATGATGTATAGTAAGTAATTAGGACTATTTTATATATAAATAAGTTTATTGGTTTCAAAATAATGATAAGTTTAAGCAACAATATATAATATTGATGGATCTACTTTGTACTTGATCATTAATTACTTAAGCTATAAAATTTTATAAATGTCAAGATATAAAACTAAATATTTGGCATAACGATAAAGATGTTAATTTTCTTTTGCTATAATAAATGTAATTTTTAATTTCATTATTTATATTCTTTTCTTCCTCTCTCATTTATTTATTATTTAATAATATCGTATTTGATAAAAAATTTCATGCCCCATATTTAAATTGTGTTTGATCTATCTATCACTTTATATTTTCAATTTATGGTTAATTTTTTGAGAATATTAAATATATTTTTAATTTAATTACAAATATATTATTTGAGAAATATGATTTTATTTCAATTTTGATTAAATAAAATAGGGATTAATGACTAAATCATTTTATTTTAAAATAATATATACTTAGAATATTATACTTAATCTTCTTATTTAAAGGCAAAATATGTTTTAAAGACTATAACAATTTTAATGTAAAAAATATATTTTAATACTTAATTAAAACAATTAAAAAATTATCTCAATTTTTAGGGCCAGAATAGTTGCCTTTCTTTCTTAGGCAAGCTCCATTTATTAATTCATATCCTTCTCTACAGGAATCACATGAACGAGGATCCATAGCTTTTGTACAGGTATTACAAGATTCATGACAGCCTCTTGCACTTTACTTTGAATTCTATTAGCAATAGTAGTTATTGTAAGTATAACCTGAGACACAACTCAAACATCTGTTGTCATAATATTCGCAAGTTGCACATGGAGATGAGCAAGGTTTGCATGTCTAATCTCTATCAACATATTATCCAGGCTAACAAACTATTTCGCAGCTATATCCTTCTTTATTATACTTATATCCTGAAATACAGCTAAGGCATCTATCTGGGTAGTATTCGCAACTTCCACAGTTAGATGTACATGGCTTACATTTGTTATCTTAGTAGTCTAAGTATTCACTTTGTTTGCAACCAGGAGTACATTTACCATAGTTGCTATCTAGATTATAACCTTATTAACATGAAGTACAAAAATCTGAATACCTCTCACATGTTAAACAAGAGTTATTACATTGAAGACATTAGCCTCTATTTAAATATTGGCCATCGTTACATGATTTGCAGGCAGAAGCATTATTAGGTTAGCTACATTCTTTACAAGAAGGATGACATTACTAATTATTTTAGTTTTTAATGCATCTTTAAGTTCTTGGATCTAAAGTATATCCAGTAGCACATTCAGTACAGTTATCTTAATAGTTTACACACTTAGAACAAGACTCACTACATCTTTAGCATCTTCCTTATTAGTTCATGAAGGCTCCATCTTAACAACTAACTGCTGAGCAAGTGTTTCTTGATAGAATAAAGCCAGATTTGCAACTTGTACATCTTTTACTTGTTTAATCACAAGTAGCACAAGAAGAATCACAAGGCTTACATTTATTATCCTAATCTAAGAACTATCCATCTTCGCATGTAGGATAATCATATTCGCATTAGTATGTTTGATTGTTCAATTTGTAACCAGAAATACAGCTAGAACATCTGTTAGGGTAGTAGAAACAAGAAGCACAAGGTGAACTACACTTCTAGCATTTATTATTTCTATCCATGTATTCATCACTTTTGCAAACAGGTGTACTGTCTACACAAAGACCTGTCTTTGGGTCTTTTGAGAAACCATTTTGACAAGAAGTACAGTTTGTTGAAATTCCATCACAAGTTAAACAAGAACTATGACATTTCATGCATTCTTTATTTTACAAGAACTCATCCCTTCTGCAAGAAGTACAACTATTAGCATCTCTATCGCAAGTTTAGCATTTATTACTACAGTATTAGCATCTTCCAGATTATAAGTACATTCCATCTCTGCAAGATGTACATGCATTTGGGTCATCATATCTATTACATTATCCACAACTTTCATGACATTAATTTCTTGTAGGTTTACAAGATTTATATTATGCATCATAAGTATAACCAGCTATGCAACTATTGCAATAGTCACTATAAGATTAGCATGTGGCACAAGGAGATGTACACTTTTAACAGCTTCCTTATCTATCTTGGAATTCATCAGATTTACAAACAGGGATGCAAGTTTGATAATTTGAATCTAGTTTGTACCCTCTTTCACAATTTGTACATTTTTTAGGATTATCTGTACATCCATAACATCCTTTATCACAAGGTACGCATAAATTATTCTGCATAACATAATTAAAAGCACATCTTTTACAAGCTGTAGGATCTTTACGAATTATACAGGTATCACAGCTTTCATGACAATCCATACGGCATCTTTTATTATATTCATCATATTCCCATCCATCTGCGCATTTTATACATTTATTTTCTCTTTCAGCACATGTTGCACAAGATTCGTCACATTTTTAACATCTACCTTCTTTATTTAGGAATTAACCATCTCTACAAGAAGTGCATTTAGTGGGATCTCTAAAAGCTGAGCATTCAAGACAAGAGCTATCACATGTATTCATAGATACACATTTACCAATAAACTTATCCATTTCATATCCTTATCCACAAGTCGTACACTCAGTAGCTGAATTGAAACAATTTTCACAAGGATATTAGCATGGTTAGCAAGTTTTTCTAGAGTCCAAATATTAACCAGCAGGGCAAGAAGTGCATTGATTTGAATTTGGACCAGAGCATGATTGACAGCTAGAGTGGCAGGTAGTATCAACACATTAATTTCCTTAAAGCGAGTATCCATCATTACAAGATAAACATTGATTGTATGAAGGACCAAAGCATGCTGAACAATTAACAGAACAGAGAACACAGCTACCAGTGGCTTGATCTCCATATTATTTGTATGGACAAGTGGGCTTACAAGTGTTATCAAAGTTTTTGAATTATCCAGAGGGGCAGTTATAAACACAACGAGCACCATCCCAAACTTAACCTTCACCACATCTTTTAGAGCAATCAGCACCACCATATCCTTTGAGACATACACAATAACCATTATTACAGACACCATTGTTAGAGCAGTTATTGGGGCATGACTTAGGGAAATTACAAAACAAATCAAAATCATGAGGACATTTCATAGTACCTTGAGTTGTTTTAGTTTGATCAGCTAAGTTAATGACTTAATTGGGGTATTTGCAAGTAACATATTCATCACCCCATACATTAACTTTAATAGAAGATAGATCATCTGCACATTGAGCCTTAAAGCATCTACCATTCATATCTAAAACTTCATTTCCTTTGACATTAGCATTAGATCTAAAGCATCTTGAACCGGTACCAGTATTTTATCTCAATCTTTCATCAGGTTTAAACTAATCAGATTCGCAATAAGCATTTGAGTATGAATAAATAGTTTTACATTAAGAGAAGTAATCATAATTATGTAGACCACCAATACCTAAAGAAAAGAAATCGCAAGATTCTTTTACACTGTCATCTGGGAACTCAGGGAAATATTTTCCAGTATTACAAGTTTTATTGAAAAAATCACATCCCTTATTTTTACCCCAATAAATAGGCATAAGAAGGTTAGAATTAATTTCAGCATAATAACCAGTATCTAAGAGAAGAGCAGCTGTAAATTTAGATATAGTGTAGACACCATAAACAATACTACCTGTCATAAATTCATTTCCAAGTAAATCCCTTTCCCAATGAGAACCCATAGAGCCACCACCACCTTAATTTTCAAGATACATACCATCTATTGAAGGGCAATTGTAGTGATCTCTAGAAACTTTCAAAATATTTTTAGAGAGCACTTTAATTACATTATCTACCTCCCATCTTCTTTCTCTTTTCATAACCTTATATTCATTTGCTCCTCCGTAAGGTTTATTTGTTTCAGGATCAATCCAATAAGAAACACTGCTACCTGAAAAACCTAAAATATGGAGAATTTCATGTAAAGAAGTAGAGAAATTATCTTAAAAAGATTAAGTTGAAGATTCATCAATATCCATAGTACCAATATTAAATTTAACTCTTCCAACATTAGGGTTAGGATCTAACTGGCACCATACTATTTTTATAAAATAATATTTTAATATTTAGTATAAAAAAAATTTAATTTTTACTTGCATTTGCTAAATAGGTTGTGTTTGGTTGATTAGCATATGTGACGAAAATATGTATATCTGAGTTATCAATACCCACTGTCTTTATTTCCTCTGAAACCTTAACATCATAGCATGTATCACCACTCCAGTTATACTTAATAGGTTTTTATCTAGGAATTACTTTAATGAGTTTATTCAAATATGTTTGAGCAGCATACATAATTTTCTTTAAATATTCCTTAATGTTTGGAGTAAGTCCTTCACCGTTTTTAGGATTATCGAGCTCTTTGAAATCGAGAGTTATTCTAATAGGCTAAGGTTCAGAACTCTAAAGTTTTCTGTTTCCATAGTTTTCATCAAAGGTTTCTAAGTAATCTTTAGGTACAATTTCGCTCATATCTATCTCATCTTGTAGACAAGTATTGACGACCTATTTGTTAGTATTATGAGCATTTACTAACAAAGCAACTAATAGCAGTAAAATAGTAAATTTATTCATTTTTAAAGTTTACTTTTGTTTTTTAAACTTTTTTTTATATAATAAATTATGTTAAAAAACAGAATATCTAAATCTTATTTTTATACATGTTTGTTCTATTAACAAATGAGAAACATTTAAAATATATGTTTTCTTTTACATAAAAGCATGAATAATTAATTACGGATTAGTTTTTTCTGATGAATTACAACATCATATTATATTTACTTAGCGTAATAAGTGATGATTATACTTTTTTGAAAAATTAATAAATTTATTATCCAAGGTAAAAGGAAGTATTTTGTAATAAAATAAATAGATATATATTTTCTTAAATAAAAATAAATTTTAAATTGATAAAAAATATTTTATAATGCTTTAATTGTATAGATAATTATTTTTTATAATGTATAATATTTACAAAATTAGATGTGTTTAAATTAATATCTTAATTAAATATTTACTGGATTAATAAAAATTGAAATTATATAAATCATACTAAAATTATTAATGCTATTAAAATACAAACTTAAATCAATGATTCAAAATCATTTAATTTTATCCAATTTGTTTGATGTAAAGCAAATTTAATCGAATCCATATAAATAATTATTAATCACCACAAACTAAAAAGATATTTTTCATTTTGTTTAAAATACTTAAAAACCATTAATTATTTGTAAAATAAGCCTAAATCATTTTTTAACACATTCTATTTATGTTTTATAAATTAAGTAAAACAATTAATATTTAATACCTTTTCTCTAAATTCTAGTCCTTTTTATTGGCTAACAGTATCTTAAATGGTAAAAAAAATTAATTTAAGTATCTAGGATATTTTCAATTTTCTTAAAATGTATTTTTGTTTAAAAAACTAAGGTATTTTTTAAGGAATATTGTAAAGAATTTTTTAATTATTATTTAGTCAATTAATATTTGATAATTGAATATATTTTCAAATATAAAACAATATTTTTTTAAGATAGAGTATTATATTATATTTTATTTATAAATATGAATCATAATTAAAGTTTAACTTAAATTAAAATATTTTTCAAGTTTAAATGATAAAAGGGGGAAATAAGTTTTAACAGTTTAAAAAAATAAATATTTTACTATTTATGATATTTGAAATATAATAAAGAAATGAAACAATATCATCAAATAAATACGTAATTTATAACGCAATTTATATTTTAACATGTTTATGGTATTCAGTATGAGATTGTCTGCACTCAAAAATAATAGGCCATTAATATTCCTATTTTTTATAGAACTAACAAGTTTAATATTAGTAAATAGATTAATCTAGACTAAATATTTTGATTGTAAGTATATATAATTTTATTTAATTAAAATGTTAAGCTTACTTATTTTCCTATCTCTAAATCTATTTGTAAATTCAATAAGTAATATTACATTTTTTGAATAAATTTAAATATTATTTATACTTCTTATACATTTTTAATAATAAAGAGTTATGTTAATAGAAAATGTAAATATACTAGTTTACTTTTACAACTTTTTATATATTTAGAATATTTTAAGTTTATATTTTTTATAGTTTTAGAACAAATAAGCTTAAACTGTGAATATAGATTATTTTTAAAATCAAAAGCAATACACATTCCGATAATTTTAATTAGATTTTAAAAATATCGATTTACCACTCATTTCTAGCTTTATAATTTAGAGTCACTAATTTTTATGTTTTAACAATTATTTAATTATAAGTTCATAAAATTTAATTTAATTGAAATGTTAAGCTTACTTATTTATTTTTGCTTGTTATCTATCTATCTATTAATTTACATATACAATAAGTATTTTATTTATTTCAATATACAATAGTATAACTTCAACTTATATAAATATTTAATATAAAGAAAAGTGTTTATAGATAATGGAAAAATAGTTTTTAAAATTGTTGTTTATATAATTTGAAAGTTGTAAATTTATTTTTATGATACCTATAGAACCAAAAATCTTTAATTTTTGTGAAAATAGATTATTTCGAGTATTTAGCAACAATGCAAATTCTGATAGTTTTAATTAGATTTAAAAATTAATTATTGATTTACCACTCATATCTAGCTATTTAATTTAGAGTAACTAATTGTTATGTTTAAATAGTTCTAACACAATTATATTAGCTATATTATAAAAGAAAATGGAAGAATTCTAAAAATTTTTAGAAATGTAGCAGAAAAAATAGATAAAACCAGATATATAAGTAAATGAATATAAATATAAAATGAGGAATGTGAGTCATACTTTTTAAAAGAAATCAATTTACTTATATTTAATAATAACTTCATTATCTTATCAAATATTTAGTTCTAATGACTATTTATTTTTGTATTATTCAATATAAGTGATTCATTCATTATCTTATGGATTAGAAAATTAAATGAAAAATAATAATACTTAAGAATCAAATTTATTTTAAAGAAATACATTAATAAAGGAAAAATTTACTCTAAGATTAATTTAATCTTTTGAAATATTCAAATTTATACAAAAATTTCTTTAATTATTTAAATTATTTTTTTTATTCATTAGAAATATTATTTTATAATTTTGTTGATTTGAATGGAAAATATTGGTTATTAATTTTTTTTCTTTTACCTTTACTAACAAACTACACGAAATTATAATATTTATTGATACAAAAACTAATTTAAAATCTTATAATTTTACAAAATAATAAGTATACTTTAATTAGATTTCACTTACCTAATACTATTTATATATTGAAATGTATATTATTTTATCACTTAATTATTTATAATTATAATAAAATTTTTTAAAAATTTTTATGTAATATTTAAATCATCCTTAAATTCATAAGCAATATAAAATTTAAAATTAATATCACAAACTTAAAAAATACAAAATTTAAATTACAAAATCATTAAAGTATATTTTATTTTTTATATAATTACCCTCCTTTTTTAAATCTTAAAATATTCCATTATTGTGCCCTCATTTTACAAATTAAATTTGATTCATAAATACATATAAAAAAATTAAAAAAGATATTTTATATTTAATTTTAAAACCTAATGGTTATGTACTGTTTAGCAGCAATAGCCATTTTTTAAAATAGCAAAGTGCTATATAACAATTTTAATGTAAAAAATATATTTTAATACTTAATTAATATAATTAAAAAATATATTTTAATACTTAATTAATATAATTAAAAAATTATCTCAATTTTTAGGGCCAGAATAGTTGCCTCTCTTTCTTAGGCAAGCCCCATTTATTAATTCATATCCTTCTCTACAGGAATCACATGAGCGAGGATCCATAGCTTTTGTACAGGTATTACAAGATTCGTGACAACCTCTTGCACTTTACTTTGAATTCTATTAGCAATAGTAGTTATTGTAAGTATAACCTGAAACACAACTCAAACATCTGTTGTCATAATATTCGCAAGTTGTACATGGAGATGAGCAAGGTTTGCATGTCTAATCTCTATCAACATATTATCCAGGCTAGCAAACTTTTTCACAGCTATATCCTTCTTTATTATACTTAAATCCTGAAATACAGCTAAGACATCTATCCGGGTAGTATTCGCAACTTCCACAATTAGATGTGCAAGGCTTGCATTTGTTATCTTAGTAGTCTAAATATTCACTTTTTTTGCAATCAGGAGTACATTAACCGTAGGTGCTATCTAGATTATAACCTTGCTAACAAGAAGTACAAAAATCTGAATACCTGTCACATGTTAAACAAGAGCTATTACATTAAAGACACTAACCTCTATTTAAATATTGTCCATCATTACAGGATTTGCAGGCAGAAACATTATTAGGTTAGTTGCATTCTTTACAAGAGGGATGACATTACTAATTATTTTAGTTTTTAATGCATCTTTAAGTTCCTGTATCTAAAGTATATCCACTAGCACATTCAGTACAGTTATCTGAATAGTTTACACACTTAGAGCAAGACTCACTACATCTTTAGCATCTTCCTTATTAGTTCATGAAGGTTCCATCTTAGCAATTAGCTGCTTAGCAAGTGTATCTTGACAGAACAAAACCATATTTACAACTTGTACATCTTTTACTTGTTTAATCACAAGTAGCACAAGAGGAATCACAAGGCTTACATTTATTATCCTAATCTAAGAACTATCCATCTTGGCATATAGGATAATCATATTCACATTAGTATATTTGAGTGTTCAATTTATAACCAGAAATACAGCTAGAACATCTGTTATGATAGTAGAAACAAGAAGCACAAGGTGAACTACATTTCTAACATTTATAATTTCTATCCATGTATTCATCTGTTTTGCAAACAAGTGTACTGTCTACACAAAGACCTGTCTTTGGGTCTTTTGAGAATCCATTTTGACAAGAAGTACAGTTTGTTGAAATTCCATCACAAGTCAAACAAGAACTATGACATTTCATACATTCTCTATTTTATAAGAACTCATACCTTCTGCAAGATGTACAAATATTAGCATCTCTATCACAAGTTTTGCATTTATTACTGCAGTATCGACATCTTCCAGATAACAAGAACATTCCATCCCTACAAGATGTACATGCACTATGGTCATCATATCTATTACATTGTCCACAACTTTCATGACATTTATTTGTAACAGGCTAACAAGATTTATATTAGGCTTCATAAGTATAACCAGCTATACAACTATTACAATAGTAATTATAATATTCGCATGTGGCGCAAGGAGATGCACATTTTTAACAGTTTCCATTTCCATCTTGGAATTCGTCAGAATTACAAATGGGGACACAAGTTTGATAATTTGAATCTAGTTTATACTTTCTATTACAATTAGTACATTTTTTAGGATTTTCTGTACATCCATAACAACTTTTATCGCAAGGTATACATAGATTATTCTACATAACGTAATTATGTGCACACGTTTTGCAAGCTATCGGATTTTAACGAGCTGTACATGTATCACAACTTTCATGGCAATCCATACGACATCTTTTTTTATATTCATCATATTCCCATCCGTCAGCACATTTTATGCATTTATTTTCTCTTTCAGCACATGTAGCACAAGATTCGTCACATTTTTAACATCTACCTTTTTTATTTAGGAATTAACCATCTCTACAAGAAGTGCATTTAGTGGGATCTCTAAAAGTTGAGCATTCAAGACAAGAGCTATCGCATGTATTCATAGATACACATTTACCAATAAATTTATCCATTTCATATCCTTATCCACAAGTTGTACACTCTGTAGCTGAGTTGAAACAATTTTCACAAGGATATTAGCATGGCTGGCAAGTTTTTCTAGAGTCCAAATACTAGCCAGCAGGGCAAGAAGTACATTGATTTGAATTTGGACCAGAGCATGATTGGCAGCTAGAGTGGCAGGTAGTATCAACACATTAGTTTCCTTAAAGCGAATATCTATCATTACAAGATAAACATTGATTGTATGAAGGGCCAAAGCATGCTGAACAGTTATCATAGCAGAGAACACAACTACCAGTCGCTTTATCTCTATATTATTTGTATGGGCAAGTGGGCTTGCAAGTGTTATCAAAGTTTTTGAATTATCCAGAGGGGCAGTTATAAACACAACGAGAACCATCCCAAACTTAACCTTCACCACATCTTTTAGAGCAATCAGCACCACCATATCCTTTGAGACATACACAATAACCATTATTACAGACACCATTGTTAGAGCAGTTATTGGGGCATGACTTAGGGAAATTACAAAACAAATCAAAATCATGAGGACATTTCATAGTACCTTGAGTTGTTTTAGTTTGATCAGCTAAGTTAATGACTTAATTGGGGTATTTGCAAGTAACGTATTCATCACCCCATACATTAACTTTAATGGAAGATAGATCATCTGCACATTAAGCCTTAAAGCATCTACCATTCATATCTAAAACTTCATTTCCTTTGACATTAGCATTAGATCTAAAGCATCTTGATCCGGTACCAGTATTTTATCTCAATCTTTCATCAGGTTTAAACTAATCAGATTCGCAATAAGCATTTGAGTATGAATAAATAGTTTTACATTAAGAGAAGTAATCATAATTATGTAGACCACCAATACCTAAAGAAAAGAAATCACAAGATTCTTTTACACTGTCATCTGGGAACTCAGGGAAATATTTTCCAGTATTACAAGTTTTATTGAAAAAATCACATCCCTTATTTTTACCCCAATAAATAGGCATAAGAAGGTTAGAATTAATTTCAGCATAATAACCAGTATCTAAGAGAAGAGCAGCTGTAAATTTAGATATAGTGTAGACACCATAAACAATACTACCTGTCATAAATTCATTTCCAAGTAAATCCCTTTCCCAATGAGAACCCATAGAGCCACCACCACCTTAATTTTCAAGATACATACCTTCAATAGATGGACATTTGTAGTGATTTCTAGATACTTTCAAAATATTTTTAGAGAATAATTTAATAACATTGTCTACTTCCCATCTTCTTTCTTATTTCATAATTTTAAATACATTCTTATTTCCATATGGTTTATCTGTATCAGGATCAATCCAAAAAAAAACACTGCTACCTGAAAAACCTAAAATGTGGAGAATTTCATGTAAAGAAGTTGAGAAATTATCTTAAAAAGACTAAGTTGATGATTCATCAAAATCCATACCAGCAATATTAAATTTAACTCTTCCAATATTAGGTCTAGGATCTAAAGAGCACCATACTAATTAATTTTTTTAAAATGTTTAAAAATATACTATTTATTGAGAATAAAATTTATTACTTGCATTTGCTAAATAAAAAGCTTTTGGTTCATTTGAATAGGTAACAAAGATATGTAAATCCGATTTATCTATTCCAACTGTTTTTATATTGTTAGGGAGTTTAACATCTAAGCATTTATCACCACCCCAATTATAGGTGTTAGGTTTTTGTCTAGGATATACTTTAATAAGTTTATTCAGGTATGTTTGAGCAGCATACATAATTTTCTTTAAGTATTCTTTTTTTTAAGGTGTCATTCCATCTCCATTTTAAGAGTTATCAAGTTCATTAAAATCAAGAGTGATCCTAATAGGTTAAGGTTTAGAACTCTAGAGTTTCCTGTTTCCAAAGTTCTCATCAAATGTTTCTAAATAGTCCTTAGGAACTATTTCATTCATGTCAATCTCATCTTGTAAGCAAGTGTTAACAAATTATTGTCTAGTCTATTGAATATTTACTAACAAACTTGTGAGTAAAATTAGTATTTAAACTATTTTCATATTTAAGGTTTATTTTGATGTTTATACTTTTTTATTCTTATTTAAAAAATATTATAAATAGCCGTGATCTTTCTTATTATTTAAAAGCGGATATGTAACTAAATAATGAAAGAAGAAGATATAAATCTTATATATGCAATTTATTAAAAGCACAAATAAATAATCTTTTATAAATGTATTTTGATCAACTATGACAAATAAAATACATAAATAAAACAATTAAATTACTATTTTTAACTCACTATTTCAAACTATTACCAAATTCTTATTTAAAAATAGCATAACAGAAAAGTTAACTATAAAACATTCTTTTATAAAAAACACATAATTATTTTACAAGAAAGAAGGGAAACTAATAAAATTTTTTTTTTTTTGAATTTAATAGGTAAAACAAATATTGCAAAATTTAGTTTTCATTTTATTAATGTGTGAAAAACATATTTACTGGTTTAAAAATAATCTAAACTAAATTATCGTTTTTAATTTTTCAAATAAAATTGATTAATACTATAGCTTTAGCAATTATTTTTTGTATCTATTAATTTTAACTAATAAATTAAGAAACAAGAATATAATTTGTATTAAATGTAACCATAAATTTTATAAGGCTACTTTTTTGCTTAAATAAACTGTCATATTAAATGTTTTTTTAAAGTATATAGAAAGTAAAATATAAATTAATATAGTTTATCCAATTTAAGACTAACTTTAATTCATACTCAAATATATTTTTTCAAAAATAACCCTAAGTTCCCCTATATCTACTTATCCCAATAAGATTGGATTTAATAAATAGAAAATGCATTAAGCTGTATTTAAAATTGTTAAATAATTAAAGCAAGTATAACAAAAATTTGATTTGAAACCATGCAAATTTTAGATTACTAAATAGGTACTATCAGGTAAAAGTAACTAAATCAAATATAAGAATTTGTAACTTAGAAAGTAATTTAATGATAATACAGGAATAATAATTATTTATTAAGTGAATATTCTAAATTTATAAACACCATTAAAAATAAGAATATTTATAATACTCTCTAAAAAGCATTAAATATTTATTTATTTAAAAAAAAATCATTTGTTAATTAATCATTTTTGAGAAAAAAATAATTTATTTTTTAATATATTATGTGTTATTTATGGATATTGCTATTAATAAAGGATAATTAAAATAATTATTTAAACTTTTTAATTATGAACTAATTTTAATCATTTAAAAATTTTTTAATTGTGTGATTAATTTTTTATTATAGATAGTACCATTAAGTTTTGCAAATAGATTAATTTAATGTTAATGATAAAATTATTACTTAATACATTTGTTAGACTTAAGTGTTATGAATAATTATATTTAATTGTAAAATATCTTTTTTCCTATTAATATATTTTTGTTTCTTAAATAAAAATCATATAGAACTATTTAATATTAAAAAGTTTTTATTTAATTTTAATTAATTGTGTAAATAAATTTAGCTGCTTTTATAATTATTTTAACAAATGTTACTTTTTTTAAATTATAAATTATTTAAATTCATCTTAAATTCACTATACAACAAATCTATATTTAGGGTCTCGATAACTTTAAAAAGCTAGTAAAGTATATGGGTCACTTTAATTATATTTTAAAATTTTTAATCCAGTATTCATCTAATACTATCTTATTGGTCATATTTATTTTTTATACCACAATATTTCAATGATATTTTTTAAAGTATCTATCAATAAAAGATTGATTAATTTAAAAATACACATCATTTTAGTTAACTATATAAATTACAATTTGAATGCAATGATTTAATATAGATTAGACTATTAATAAATTATAAATACTATTTTTAAGATACCTAATAAAAAAGAAATGTATAAATATTTAATATATATGCTATTTGTATTATTATCATCTCCAGGATATATGGCTTTAAAATAATCTATTATCAAATTCTCATTTCTTATATAATAATATAAAAATATACTTTTTAATTGTTTTTATACAAAAAAATGTATATACTCTAAATCCTCATTAATTAAGGGCACCCCCATCTTTTAAGCCTACTGTGGGACCCATAATTAAGGTTTTGTACTTTTTCAAAAATGTTGAGTATATGAGAAGGTAAAATTGGGGTTGACGCCATGTACCTAATTTTATATTTTTTGTCTCTTTATTTAAAGTAAATTAAATATAAAATTCTTGATAAGTAGTTTTTTCTAAAATTTTTTCAATTTATGGTTATTATGTGAAAAATATTAAAGATATTTTTAATTTAATTACAACTAGTAAAGATAATGTTAGATAAATATAATTTTATCTCATTTTGATTAAATAAAATAGGGATTATTGGTCAATTTTTTATTTTCAAATTATATATAATTAGTAAATTACACTTAATCTAATTATTTCAAGATAAAATATTTTTATAAAACAAAAACAATTTTAATGTAAATATATATTTTAATACTTAATTAATATAATTAAAAAATTATCTCAATTTTTAGGGCCAGAATAGTTGCCTCTCTTTCTTAGGCAAGCCCCATTTATTAATTCATATCCTTCTCTACAGGAATCACATGAACGAGGATCCATAGCTTTTGTACAGGTATTACAAGATTCGTGACAGCCTCTTGCACTTTACTTTGAATTCTATTAGCAATAGTAGTTATTGTAAGTATAACCTGAAACACAACTCAAACATCTGTTGTCATAATATTCGCAAGTTGCACATGGAGATGAGCAAGGTTTGCATGTCTAATCTCTATCAACATATTATCCGGGCTAACAAACTATTTCGCAGCTATATCCTTCTTTATTATACTTATATCCTGAAATACAGCTAAGGCATCTATCTGGGTAGTATTCGCAACTTCCACAATTAGATGTGCAAGGCTTGCATTTGTTATCTTAGTAGTCTAAATATTCACTTTTTTTGCAATCAGGAGTACATTAACCGTAGGTGCTATCTAGATTATAACCTTGCTAACAAGAAGTACAAAAATCTGAATACCTGTCACATGTTAAACAAGAGCTATTACATTAAAGACACTAACCTCTATTTAAATATTGTCCATCATTACAGGATTTGCAGGCAGAAGCATTATTGGGTTAGTTGCATTCTTTACAAGAGGGATGACATTACTAATTATTTTAGTTTTTAATGCATCTTTAAGTTCTTGTATCTAAAGTATATCCACTAGCACATTCAGTACAGTTATCTGAATAGTTTACACACTTAGAGCAAGACTCACTACATCTTTAGCATCTTCCTTATTAGTTCATGAAGGTTCCATCTTAGCAATTAGCTGCTTAGCAAGTGTATCTTGACAGAACAAAACCAGATTTACAACTTGTACATCTTTTACTTGTTTAATCACAAGTAGCACAAGAAGAATCACAAGGCTTGCATTTATTATCCTAATCTAAGAACTATCCATCTTGGCATATAGGATAATCATATTCGCATTAGTATATTTGATTGTTCAATTTGTAACCAGAAATACAGCTAGAACATCTGTTAGGATAGTAGAAACAAGAAGCACAAGGTGAACTACATTTCTAACATTTATAATTTCTATCCATGTATTCATCTGTTTTGCAAACAGGTGTACTGTCTACACAAAGACCTGTCTTTGGGTCTTTTGAGAAACCATATTGACAAGAAGTACAGTTTGTTGAAATTCCATCACAAGTCAAACAAGAACTATGACACTTCATACATTCTCTATTTTACAAGAACTCATCCCTTCTGCAAGATGTACAAATATTAGCATCTCTATCACAAGTTTTGCATTTATTACTACAATATTAACATCTTCCAGATAACAAGAACATTCCATCCCTACAAGATGTACATGCATTAGGGTCATCATATCTATTACATTGTCCACAACTTTCATGACATTTATTTGTAACAGGCTAACAAGATTTATATTAGGCTTCATAAGTAAAACCAGCTATACAACTATTACAATAGTAATTATAATATTCACATGTGGCGCAAGGAGATGCACATTTTTAACAGTTTCCATTTCCATCTTGGAATTCGTCAGAATTACAAATGGGGACACAAGTTTGATAATTTGAATCTAATTTATACCCTCTTTCACAATTTGTACATTTTTTAGGATTTTCTATACATCCATAACAACCTTTATCACAAGGTACACATAGATTATTCTACATGACGTAATTAAAAGCACATCTCTTACAAGCTGTAGGATTTTAACGAGCTGTACATGTATCACAACTTTCATGGCAATCCATACGACATCTTTTATTATATTCATCATATTCCCATCCATCAGCACATTTTATGCATTTATAGTCTCGTTCAGAGCAAGTAGCACATGACTCATCACATTTTTAACATCTACCTTCTTAGTTTAGGAATTAGCCCTCTCTACAAGTAGTGCATTTAGTGGGATCTCTAAAAGCTGAGCATTCAAGGCAAGAGCTATCGCATGTATTCATAGATACACATTTACCAATAAACTTATCCATTTCATATCCTTATCCACAAGTTGTACACTCAGTAGCTGAGTTGAAACAATTTTCACAAGGATATTAGCATGGTTAGCAAGTTTTTCTAGAGTTCAAATACTAGCCAGCAGGGCAAGAAGTACACTGATTTGAATTTGGACCAGAGCATGATTGACAGCTAGAGTGGCAGGTAGTATCAACACATTAATTTCCTTAAAGCGAATATCCATCATTACAAGATAAACATTGATTGGATAAAGGACCAAAGCATGCTGAACAGTTAACAGAACAGAGAACACAGTTGCCTGTGGCTTGATCTCCATATTGTTTGTATGGACAAGTGGGTTTGCAAGTGTTATCAAAGTTTTTGAATTATCCAGAGGGGCAGTTATAAACACAACGAGAACCATCCCAAACTTAACCTTCACCACATCTTTTAGAGCAATCAGCACCACCATATCCTTTGAGACATACACAATAACCATTATTACAGACACCATTGTTAGAGCAGTTATTGGGGCATGACTTAGGGAAATTGCAAAACAAATCAAAATCATGAGGACATTTCATAGTACCTTGAGTTGTTTTAGTTTGATCAGCTAAGTTAATGACTTAATTGGGGTATTTGCAAGTAACATATTCATCACCCCATACATTAACTTTAATTGAAGATAAATCATCTGCACATTAAGCCTTAAAGCACCTACCATTCATATCTAAAACTTCGTTTCCTTTGATATTAGCATTAGATCTAAAGCATCTTGATCCGGTACCAGTATTTTATCTCAAACTTTCATCAGGTTTAAACTAATCAGATTCGCAATTAGCATTTGAATATGAATAGATAGTTTTACATTAAGAGAAGTAATCATAATTATGTAGACCACCAATACCTAAAGAAAAGAAGTCACAAGACTCTTTTACACTGTCATCTGGGAACTCAGGGAAATATTTTCCAGTATTACAAGTTTTATTGAAGAAATCACATCCCTTATTTTTACCCCAGTAAATAGGCATAAGAAGATTAGAATTAATTTCAGCATAATAACCAGTATCTAAGAGAAGAGCAGCTGTAAATTTAGATATAGTGTAGACACCATAAACAATGCTACCTGTCATAAATTCATTACCAAGTAAATCCCTTTCCCAATGAGAACCCATAGAGCCACCACCACCTTAATTTTCGAGATACATACCATCTATTGAAGGGCAATTGTAGTGATCTCTAGAGACTTTCAAAATATTTTTAGAGAGCACTTTAACTACATTATCTACCTCCCATCTTCTTTCTCTTTTCATAACCTTATATTCATTTTTTCCTCCGTATGGTTTATTTGTTTCAGGATCAATCCAATAAGAAACACTGCTACCTGAAAAACCTAAAATATGGAGAATTTCATGTAAAGAAGTTGAGAAATTATCTTAAAATGACTAAGTTGAGGATTCATCAATATCCATAGTACCAATATTAAATTTAACTCTTCCAACATTAGGGTTAGGGTCTAACTGGCACCATACTAATTTTATAATATAACATTTTAATATTAAGAATAATGAAAATCAATTTACTTGCATTGGCTAAATAGGTTGTGTTTGGTTGATTAGCATATGTGACAAAAATATGTATATCTGAGTTATCAATGCCCACTGTTTTTATTTCCTCTGAAACCATAACATCATAGCATTTATCTCCACTCCAGTTATACTTAATAGGTTTTTATCTAGGAATTACTTTAATGAGCTTATTCAAGTATGTTTGAGCAGCAAACATAATTTTCTTTAAGTATTCCTTTATGTTAGGAGTAAGTCCTTCACCATTTTAAGGATTTTCGAGCTCTTTGAAATCAAGAGTGATTCTAATAGGCTAGGGTTCAGAATTCTAAAGTTTTCTGTTACCATAATTTTCATCAAAGGTTTCTAAGTAATCCTTTGGGACCATTTCGCTCATATCTATCTCATCTTGTAGACAAGTATTGACAGCCTATTTGTTAGTATTATGAGCACTTACTAACAAAGCAGTTAAAAGCAATAAAATAGTAAATCTATTCATTTTTTAAAGCTTACTTTGATTTTAAACTTTTTTTTTATTTTATAAATTATGTTAAAATATTAAAATTGAAATCTTGCTTGTTTTTATACACGTCTGTGACGTCTGTGCTGTAAGAATTAATAAATGAAAGGCATTTAAAATATATGTTTTCTAATTTACAGTAAGCATGAATTATTAATTATTGATTAATTTTTTCTGATGAATTATAATATCAGGTTATATTTGCTTAACATTTGATATTGATACCTTTTGTAAGAATAAATACCTTTATTATTCAAAATAAAGCATCATAAATAAAATAAAATAAAAGAAATAGAAATTTATTTTTGTAATAAAAAATTTAAATTGATTTAAATTATTTTAAAAAAGTGTATAGATGATAATAGATGATTATTTTTATACCTATTTAACTTTTATAAAAATAGATGTGTTAAATTGATATTTTAATTACATATTTACTGGATTCATAAAAATCGAAATTATATTAATCATACTAGAATTGTTAATGTATGATAGATTAAAATACAAACTTAAATCAGTGATTCAGAACCAATTAATTTTATTCTATTTGTTTAATTTCAAATGTTAATAAATACCATATAAATAATTAGTAATCATTACAAAGTAAAAAGATATTTTTCATTTTGTTAAAGAATACTTAATAACCAATAATTTTATTTATAAATTTAATCTAAAATTCATGATTTAATAAACACATTATTTTTATGTTTTATATATATTTAATACCTCTTCTCTAAATTCCAGCCTTTTTTTACATGCTAGATGTATCTTAAATGGGTAAAAAAAATATGTTTCCACTAAGCCCTTTCAAATTTCTTATTATATATAATAGTTTAAAAAACTAAGGTATTTAGAAAATATATTCAAAAAATAATTTTGTAATTATTATTTAATCAATGAATATTTAACAGTTGAATAGCCTTTCAAGTATAAATAATTATTCTTTTTAAGATAGAGCATTAAATATAAATATTTTTTATTTATGAATCCGATCTATAATTTAACATTTAGCTTAAATTTAAATATTATTGAAGTTCAAATGATAAAATGAGGGAAAAGTAAGTTTTAAATGGTTAAAATAAAAAAAATATTTTACTTTTTACAACAATTAAAATATCATAAAGATGTGAACAAAATGAGTATATAAATACTTAATTTGTTATGCAGACTCTTTTTTAATATACTTAAGGTATTCAGTATGAGATAGTCTGGACTAAAAAATAATTGACCATTAATATTCCTATTTTTATAGAACTAATAAGTATAATATAAGTAAATAGATTAATCTAGTTTCAATATGTAGATTGTAAGTACATATAATTTAATTAATCAAAATGCTAAGCTTACTTATTTTGTTAGCTCTATTTCTCATTGTAAATTTAATAAGTAATATTTTATTTTTTGAAAGTATTTAAATAAAAATTGTATTAATAATATATTTTTAATAATAAAGTATTATGTTCATACATATTGTAAATATCTAGTATATTTATACTATTTTTTATATATTTAGAGTATTTTAAATGATTTTTTTGGTACATTTAGAACCAATAAGATTAAATTGTGAATATAGATTATTTTTAAATATCAAAAGCAAAATACATTCTGATAATTTTAATTAGACTTTAAAATTATCGATTTACCACTCATTTCTAGCTTTATAATTTTTAGTCACTAATTTTTATGTTTTAATAAATATTTAGTTATAAGTGAATAAATTTGAATTTAATTAAAATATTAAGTTTACTTATTTATTTTTTTTTGTAATACATGTAAGTAATATTTTTATTTTTTTTCAATATACAAAAATATAATTTTAACTTATTATATATATTTAAAAATAATGGACTATGTTACGAAATAATGTAAATAAAGTTTATTTAAACTGTTTATATATTTCTTTAGATTTATTTTTATGATACTTTTAGAACCAACAAACTTAAATTTTTTTGAATATAGATTATTTATAAGTATCATGTAATGCATATTCTGATGGTTTTAATTATATTTAAAAATTATTGATTTACCACTCATCTCTAGTCTATTAATTTAGAGTAACTAATTGCTATGTTTAAATCGTTCTAATACAACTATATTTGCTATATGTAAAAAGATAATGGAAAAATAGTAAAAATATTTAGAAATGCAGTTGAAAAAATACATAAAACCAAATATATATGAAATGAATATAAATATAAAATGAGGAATATGAGTCATACTTTTTTTAAAAGAAATTAATTTACATATATTTGATAAATATAATTAATAATATCTTCATTATCTATCAAAAATTTAGTTCTAATGACTATTTTTGTATTTTTCAACATAAGTAATTATTTAATGGATTAGAAAATTTAATTTTTTAATAGAAATATTAAATTTGTGTTGGTAAAATTGACATTTAGATTAATTTAGTATTCTATCAATCAAATTAATAGAAAATTACTTTGTTATTTTTTTATTTTTTTCGAAATATGGTTTTATAATTTGCTTAATTTGAATGAAAAAAATTTCTTCTTATTTCTTTTACCTTTATCTTTACAAGTAAACTACACGAATAATAATATTTAATGGTACATAAACTTATTTAAAATTTGATATTTTAGAAAATAATAAGCATATTTTATTTAAATATATTTCAATTATCTAATACTATTTATACACAGAAATGTATATAATCTCTATTTTATAACTTGATTATTTATAATTCTAATAAAAAACGTTTTTCATATTTTATGCAATATATAAATATTCATTTAATCCATAAACAATAAGAAGTGTAAAGTTAATATCATATACAACTAAATGCCTTTCTAAAATATAATGAAGTAGCATCTTTATTTTTTAGAAAGTATTTTATTTTTTAATTATTTTTTTAAATCATTAAAATATATGTTTATAATAGATTTAAATTTATAATATAATTAATTTTAAATTGATTGAATACATTTCATTTTTTATTTTAGCTTTCTTAAAAATTTTGATTTCAAATCATATAAGCTTTAGATTACTTTCAAGGTACTATAAGTAAAGGGAATTAAAGTAAATATAAGGAATAATCAAAGTAAAGGAAAAATAGTTATTAAATGAATTAATTAAAGTTTTAAAAACCATTAAAAATAAGGAATGTCTCAAGATAACATTAAATAAGTATTTAATTAAAAAAAAATAGATTGTATAACATCAGTAAATGATTTTAATTATTTATTATTTAATATATTACCTATTATTTTTAGAGACTACATTTAGTAAAGAATAAATAAAAATAATTATTTAAATATATATAAATGAATTATTTTTAATAATCTTAAAATTTTAAAATTATATTACTATTTTTTTATAATTTATTTCTTAGAACGATTGAGCGTTGGAGATAGATTAATTTAATACAAATGATAAATTATTATTTAATAAATTTATTAGATTTAAATGTTATGACTAATTATACTTTTATTTAAAATATCTCTTTTTACTATAAAAACACTTTTGTTTCTTTTATTAGAATATGATAAAACAGTTTTCTATTAATAATTTTATTTTATATTTTAATTAAATTTAATTAGTTTTTTATAAAAATTTTAACAAATATTATTTTTTTAAAATAGTGAATTACTTTAAATTGTTTTAGAACGAATTTGTTTAGATTAAGCATTTTAATTACTATAAATAAATAAGCTAATTAACAATATTGACAATTTTAGTAAAATTTTTCAAATTATTAATCAAATATTCACTCAGTAAATACACTTTTTAATTAAAATTTATTATTCATTCTAATAGAACTATTGTGTAATTTATAAAAGAAAACTAATTTTAGCCAAAAGGTATTAATGAATGATTGATAAAATTTATAGGTTTTTGTTAGTTTTTAATAAAATATGAATTAATTATATTGATTTTATTATATGTCAATTATTTTAAGTATTATTATTTTATAAAGATATACTCCTTCTATGATTAAACGAATAAAACAATAATATATTTTTGTAAATTTATTTTTAAATATTTTAAATTAAGTTAAAATAATCTTAAAAGATAATTTTAGTTAAGAATATAAAGATTAAAAAGATATTAATAATATATTGTTATGTAAGTATTACTTTTATTAAATATTTTTGGAATGAATTTTATAAAAAATATTTTTTTATAATTATAAATATTTAGAAAACATGGTGAAAATTTATGCTGGTGAGAATTTATGAGGATTTACAGTATATAAAATAATTATGTATTTGTTGGATATATGAAGCAAATTAAAAAATTCATAGGAATATAAACATATAAATTAATTAATATTTTGTCTCAAATTTTTGTCATCATCAGTTATATTGATGAATATTTTATTATTATAAAATTATTATGGTCTACTTTAGATCATTAATTTCTTATGATATAAAAATATTTTTATAATGTCAAGATATTAAAACTTAATTTTTGGCATAATGTTAAAGAAGTTCATTTTCTTTTGTGATAATAAAAATAATCCTTAATTTCTTTGCATAAATTCTTTTCTTCCTCTCTCATTTTTTTATAAATTAATTATTGTGATTTTAATCAAATTTTAATGCCAAATTTAAATTGTAATTGATCTGTATCTTTATTTAAAGTA